GTATTATTCTAAGACTGATTTTTATATTTTTTAATTTCCATGTTTAAATAAGAAGATCAAAAAGTTTTCAAACATTGCTTTTTCCTTTCTTTTATGATAAATACATATTTAATATAACTTTAAATAGTTTTAATAGTGTTAATGATGCCAATAGTTTTGGGGTATCCAACCTTTTAAAGAGGGTCCCCACATAGTCCGTGATACACATGACAAGGTGGACCAAAACTCACTAATGACTAATGTGGGAGCTAAAACAAAATACGAGGTTGATCAAAACACACATGGGCTAAAGACGACACTCTTTTAGCTACACTCATAAAGACCTCTATAACAATAAAGATGAAATTTATTTTATTTAAAATGCCGACATGTATAAAAGGCAATTAGCGAAACAAAGCAGGTTGGAAAAACCTTTAAAAAGGGCAAAAGAAGCAACAAACATGTCGGCAAGAATCCTTATTCAGCAAACAAACGACAAGAAAAACAATATAAAATAAAAATAAACATTATATGCCATGTATTATCCGAAGAGCCATATGTGCCCCTTGGTTTTCAATAACTTAATTCAAGTCTTTGACATACAACACAATGCTCCTGTCTAAAAAGTTCTTTAAAAATAATGAAACTATTCCTCATTCTTCCAGCTCTAAGATAGTATTTACAGTTGAAACTTTAAAATTAATTCTAGTACCTGGTACATAGCAGTAGCAGCATTTACACACAAAAAAACCCATCTAAAAAGTTGATTCATTGAAGAGTTAATAATTTTTTAATCCAAATATTTTAACCAATCTATTTAGACTACACTTACAGTAGGCCTATTTTATTTTAAATATATCACCTGCGAACTACCCTTCCATTCTTAAAAATGCCTTACTTATAAATTATATTTATTTTGAAATAGTTCTTCCTAAGGTGCCTGGTATCAAACATATTTCATCATTCATATTATTTTAATTGAAATTGTTTTTATTATCTGTACATTTTGTTTACTTATGTTACATAGTTTGCTGAATACCAGATGAGTGAAAATTGTTAATGGATATATTTAAATTTCCCAATAAACAATATGCCCTACCTATTTGAAAGCATTTAGGGGCAATCCATAAATTATAAATTACGTGCTGGTACTTTAAAAAAAGTCAACCCCGCCCCCTGTCTGTTGCACCCATTCGTTTTGGACACCATGATATTAGTGTGTGGGGGGGGGGGGGAGCAAAAAATCTTTATTTTAAAAAAAAAAATATATATAGCTATTTAAAAAGTTTTTCTTTTGAAGACAAGTTAGTTAAAACCATCAAAAAGAAAAAAAAAATTAAAAATTAAAAAAAAGTCAACCCCCCCCCCTGTCTGTTGCACCCATTCGTTTTGGACACCATGATATTAGTGTGGGGGGGGGGGGGAGACAATAATCTTTAATTTAAAAAAAAATATATATATAGCTATTTAAAAAGTTTTTCTATTGAAGGCAAGTTAGTTAAAACCACTAAAAAGTAGAAAAATATTTAAAATTTCTTAAAATCCGTTTTAAAAGAAAAACTGAAGAGCAGAAGTGTAAATGAGCAATCTAAATCTATGTATCCAAAGGATTCGAATTGAATGTAGACCAAACTTAAATATTTTTTTGGTATTATGAATTTTAGAAAATATTCTGCAAAGAGTAACAAAAATATAAAATTAAAAAACTTAGCTTAAAAGTTGTGTCCAAGAGTTGGAACTGTCTTATGTTGCCGGTCCGCACAACCAGACCAAAGCCGTCACGATATTTAATTAAAAAGATCATTTAAGGGCCCACGGGTGTTACTTGCAAAAAAAAAAGAAACGATCACGTTTGAAAGCTGGGGACTAAAAAATCACGCAACGGTTCTGTGCACAACATGAGTCCAGAGTTTCTCTCAATTGTTTTGGGGGGGGGGGGGGGGGGGGGGAGTTTATTGAGTTGCATCTATCACCGCAAAATTAGGCACAATGAATGGTGCCCCGGGCCAGCTCTGACTCCGAATCCAGGGATGCATTTGGCATTTAGCTTTGCATCATTATACATTTATTTGAGAGCAACAGAAGAGATGTTGGTACTAAGTCTAAACAGAAAAATTATATAATCTTAATTTGAACAAGTCTATTTTTTGTACTACTTCATAAATAAATTAACTAATAATAAAATATATATATAAAAAAAGGTTTTTCACGCATTCACGGTTTATAAGAGGCAAAAAAAAAGAGAACAAATACGGCACTGTAGAAAAAGTCTCAAGCTATATTATGGCTGGTAAAAACAGGTCCTTAAAAATATTTTGTATGAATGACATTATCATACTATATTGCGTATTTTAATCACATTTTTGGGAATAACCAAAAGTTGTGAAAGACAATGACAAAGTTGCTTTGGATACGCACATTATTAAAGGGAGCTCACTCTTCTAAATGTTCTGTTATTTCCCAGAAATGTGGAAAAAAATAGGACACGGCCATGTTATGATTTTGTAGACAAATCTAACTCGTTACTGTTCGTATTGGGCAATCGTTATGGATTTCAATATCTCATGATTTTCTGCAACTGAGCGAAAGATAAAGCAACCATGACTCATTTTGAGGATTCAAAGGAAATGTTTTTATGGTATTTTATAACCTACAGCCAGTGGAAAGTGGCTGACTTAAGTTTAAAGTAAAAAATATTTATTTATAAAAAATAGTAAGAATTTATTAAACAACGTTATTATCCAATTCACTGACGACACACTCGCCGAATTTGACGTTTCTTCATTACATTCATGATTCAGATAAGATTGTAATGCCTATGCAAAAAGACTAATACTAAAAACAATTGAAAATGTCAAGGATTGTCAAATAATTTTATATTTGTTTTTGATTTTGCTAGTAATGCTAGAAACAAAATGAGTTATAGTATAACTTATGGTATAAGCATAGGCTATATTATAGTTCATAGTCTAGGTATTTTGACAGAAATCTTAAATATTGCCATAATTGATACATGATTTTAAAGGGCTAGCCGTAAGCTTTATAAAAACATTAATTTCATCTATCTGATTTCTAATTTCTACTTTTTCTTTTCTAGAAGTGAAGTTATGATTTTTTTGGTTAGTTTTTAACAACACCCCACTCCCCCCTTATTTATCTTTGTCATTTAATTTGCTAAAAACTTGTGACAGACTTTCCAAATCTCTGCCTTATTTTGACCACAACTTTTTTATTATAAAAGATAATGATATCAAATTTTCAGTAGACATTCTGACATTCTCAAACTCAAAGCTATAACTGTATGCAACACAATAAACATCAAATGATTTAAATAGCTTGAATATTGTTTATTTCGCATGGTTATATTTGTGGGAAACTTGATGAAGTCCTGAAAAGAAAGAATGGGAACAACTATTAAAACTTATTTATTTATGAAGACTGTAGCACACAAAAAACACAGGTATACTTTATTATTTAATCTATGTCACTATGAGCATTATCATTAGTATTAGCCTAAATTATAAATGATAATATATGTATAAAGGCTATTAAAAGTCATTATTTCCTTTTAAATTCATGCATCTGGCAGCATGAAATTATTTTATTAAAATGTAACTAAAATTCCCTATGAGCCTGAGTACCTGTAATTAAAAATATAATGGGCATTTTCTGCCTGCCATCTTCTGTATATACCAGGCTACAGCCCCTTTTCTTGGAGTCATGTTGATAAATCCCACAAAATCTTCTTCATAATTCTTTTCTCCGTAACTATAAGCCAGACAATGGCAGTCCTTTGAATTCTGCAAGACCCTTTTTTAAAATACTGTATCATGTATCAGGGAGAAGACTATACAAAATATCTAATCCTAATCTTGAATCTGTATAATTTCTAACATTTTAATATAATCTTTGTCTTTGTGTTATTGTCATATCCTGTCTAAAAATGTCGGAATGTTTCATCAAATTAAAAGTAAAGGATATCATTATTATATTTATTTGAAACAGTTAATTAGAATTTAAATACTGTTGGAAAAGTATGTCAAATTAATTTTATTGTTATTGGTGTTAACTTTTAGATAATGGTTTATTTGACTTTTTATTATAAATTTAAAAAAAAATTATAGCCGTATGGTGACATTTTTAAAATGTTAATTGACCTAATTTTTTTCTTCAAATCTTAAACTTAAACCAAGACATTTAAGATCATGAGGCATTTATTAAACTTCTTTTGAAAAAAAGTATTAACATATTGCTAATTTGGATTAATTTTATATATATAGCTGTTTTATTTATTTATGCATGGATATCATGTAATCAATCTTTGATAAATTAGTACAGTGTTGAGAATTCTATACTATATTCTATTTTTAAAATATTATTTTATCCAGATGGGAGCTTTCAATTAAATGAAAGAAATTAATTTAAAAAAGAAGAAATTATTGGAAATGAACATAGACATATATTATTTAGAATTGAAAAATCATGATATGTCATGTCAAACTTTATTTGATTAAAATGTTAAGCTTTGTACTAAGTGTCAAGTCAATGATTTACTAAACCTAGAGAAATTCACTTTCAGAGTGTCAAAAAATAATAAGCTTTTAACTTTGAACTCTTATGCTTTGCATGATTATAGTTTTTAATATAAAATACATACAAATTTACATATATTTTATTTTAATTACTAAATAACATGTGCTAAATTGCTGTTAATTGATAGACAATTCACTTTGTTTTACTCCTAAAGATAATGACAAGAATTGCATAATAAAACTGTATCAATGCACATAAAGCTTATTCCTAGTGAATTCTATTGAAAAATGCTTGCAATACATTTTTAAAAAAAATATAATCAATAAGTTATAAAGTTAATTTGAAAAAAAACAACAATTCTCTTTTACTTATTTTGTTTCCCTTTTACTTAAGATTTTGATTTAAAAATAAATGAGAGAATGTTACCAAGCATCAATTTTCTCTAAAATTATCTCAAATTCCATTAATTGAGCTAACTTTTTGTTTCAGAATTTTAATTGTGACTGATTAAGTGAGATATAAAAAACTACTACTGCTCAAACTCATAGTAATTGTTATCAGAGCACTTTCTTTGTGCATTGTTGAATATATACTTCGAAAATGAGTATTAGAGGATCCAACACATTTGTGTGGGATACAAGCAAAATGCTGGGGCAAGGTGCAACCAGTATGGTCTATATGGGTAGAAATAAGGTAAGCTTATAATTTTAATCAACATTTTTCATTGCCATCCAATATTTAAAACAAATAAAGCTAATGTATTTGATAAGAATTAATTGTTATCAATGTAATTGTCTTTAAAAATGTTTTGCATAAATACTTCAGTTATTAGTTCCTCTTGCAGTGTGGATTATTTTCCTCCTCTCCATGTCTGGTTGCCTCTTTTTCAACATTTTCCAGGCTGACACCCAGTTTTTTCATAGTGTAGCTTCCTCATTCCTGTAGGTGGCATCAAGTGCCTTGCCAGTGTAAAATAATCTATTGTTACCTACAAAATTAGATTTTAAAAATTAGATTTTTGTTTTGAAATGGTTCATTACCAAACAGTATATAACAAAGAGTTTGAAAGAGACAAAAACATTGATTAAATATAAGAAAGAAAGTACAATACCTCAGCTAGTGCTAATTACAAGTAAAAATTTATTTATACAATTAATTTTAATATAAAATTACAAAATCATATACATAGAAATAAAAACTCCTAACTTTCAGCTCGTGAATATGTATAATAATAAAGAAGTAAAAATATTTTAATCCACACATTCAGTGAAATTATTGTTAGTCTCTTGTAGCCCTTCTATCTCAGTCACACAAAAAAATGTAGAATCAAACCTTTAGTCTAGAGCGGCAAGCGAGAATTCTCCATCTCTATGTAGAACCTTCTAGTAACTCTAGAGGAACAGTGTTCAGAGGATCACATGCCCCCAAAAAATATAATTGGTGTTGACTGTAACAATAACAATAAAGGAGATATTTCTACATACAACTCCACTTTGTACCAACATTGGGTCATGTAAGTCTACAAGGAGCTATAACACCATTTTATAATTTTAAAACTTAACATTTAAAAAAATTTAACATAAAAATATCAACATTTTATGTGTAAACGAAAGAAAAAACCTTTACAATTTCTTCATTGGTAAAACTTATGTGGCTAAACTTTTCTGCATAGCCTAGGGGGACATAGACATTTTAAACTTTTAATACATTTTTAAAATATTTCTAAATAAAAGCCCTATTCCACTTCTCCCCACCTGATTCTCTTTTTCAGAGCTTAGTTTTTAAAGGCTGATGCCTAATTTTTTCAAGGTCTAAATATTATCAAATTAATTTCTTCATTAAAAAAAAAAAAAAGAAAACTGGTGATGAAGTGGCAGTGAAAGTGTTCAACAGCCAGAGTTTTCATCGCCCATTTGCTGTTCAGATGAGAGAATTTGAAGTGATGAAAAAACTTAATCATGACAATATTGTCAAACTACTGGCTATTGAAGAAGAGGTCAGTAAAAGAAGAAAAGTCTTTTGTATTTATAAATCTCAATTCAGAATATATGCAAAGTTCTGTTTGAATTTTTTTGGGGGTGGGAGACCAACTGCAATTCAGCTCTCTCAAGGTGGGCAACCTTTTTGTGCAGACGGTCACATGGAAATAATTAATTTTTGTGTGTGAAAAAGGGGGGTGGGGTTGATTTTAATTTTTTTTTCATGATGATTTTAATTTATACTCTATTAAAGATGGGCTTCAAATTTTCACTCAGAGTTCAGTTGAAAAATAAGCAGTTGAATGATTTTTAAATTGGCTGTTATAAATGTTATTATAGATTTGCAATTTTTTGCTGTGATTTTTAATTTTCTATGACTTTTACAGCTAATCATTTACAATTTGTAATTAAGTAAAGATTAATTAATTTCCCGGAAGGACCTGCGGGCGACATTTAATTGTTCAGCTGCCACATGATTGTTTTCCAATCGGAGTGTAAAGTTGATCAAATCTTAAGCTATTTACTGCAAGTAAAAAACATAGTTTAAAGTTGTATGTATTTTCTTGTTTTAGCTCCCCAATCGAGCTAAGGTTATTGTTATGGAGTATTGCACTCATGGTAGTCTTTACAATCTCCTTGACATGCCTGAGAATAACTATGGCCTGTCAGAAGATGAATTGCTCAATGTTCTTAAGCAAGTCAGTGAGTATTCTTCTCTTTTTTTTACAAATACAGTCACAGGTCTTTTATTAACTGTTGGCCACATATACTCTTACAGATTATAAATATATATAGCATGTGTAATTTTATCTTTTCACAGTTTAAGTATTATTAAATTAAATTTTAATGTGATATATTATTTATAATTTATTTACAAACATTGCGAAGGAGCAAAAACAGCCTAGCAATGTTGAAAACTGTTCAGATTATGCTATGATTATACTAGTAACAAAATAAAGATTTCAAATTTAATTTACAAATGTTTTTCAACCCTTTTATTTTTTTTGCTTTTCTTTTTGCAAAATTTAAAAGATGTTTATGGAAGATAACTTTTCAAAATTTTGAGATACAAGCTGAAAGGGCTTATTTTTAAATATTAAAATTTGTAAATGTGAACATCAATGTTTATCATTAGTTATCATTTTAAAAAAAAAAAGCAATGATCTATTGGTAGCCTTAGGGGAGTCTTGCTTGTAAAATTTAATCAAGATGCCAAAGCTCAATTTTCCCCACACACATTCTTTTGCTCCTAACAGCGGCTGGAGTGAAACACTTAAGGGATCAAGATATTATTCACAGAGATATTAAACCTGGAAATATATTGCGCTCTGTTGCTCCAGATGGGACGTGAGTATCACTTGTGCTGGGGGGTTCCTGTGTCCCTGGTCTAACCAAGTATTTAAGCTGTATTCCAGTGATTAGATGTTTCATTTGTAGTACACTGTATAAAAGCACATACTCTGAATTCTGAACAAGAACATAATGTGACATTATGAAAGGGCAAGACCATGTCTATTTTATCATATTTAGGTCTGTATTTAAACTGACTGACTTTGGAGCAGCCAGAGAACTACAACCAGATGAAGAATTCCTTTCACTCTATGGAACAGATGAATATTTGGTAATCTCTAGACAAAATATTTTGCTTTCATTTATATTGTAAGCTTGGTAGCACATTCTGGTCAGTATAATCGTTGAGAAAATTGTTTGTACTATTTGCATAGTATAATTCATTTTAAAATCATTTCTAAACAATGCTCACCTAGTATCTAAATTAACCTGAAAGGTAAAAAGCTTGGATATTGGACAAGCATTTATGGAAATGTTCTATCTTTATTTAAAACAGCATCCTGACATGTACGAAAGAGCAGTTTTACGAAGGGCAAAAGGTCAACAGTTTGGTGTCTATGTTGACTTATGGAGCCTGGGTGTGACATTTTATCATGCAGCCACAGGGAGCCTCCCATTCAGACCTTATGGGGGCAGAAAAAACAAAGAAACAATGTAAGTATATTTATTGTAGGTTTGCCTACAGTTCTAGGTATTTGTGTGGACAGGCTGTTTTATCAGCCATTCTCCCGCCTCATAAGAAGACAATATTTTAAGCAGTACAACAAGGATAGCAAATACCTTTTAATTATCTGATCCTGAGTTAAGAAAATTTTTATCATTCTCTCTATTAGGCACATGATCACTGCCAAGAAGGAACATGGGGTCATATCGGGTGTTCAAGAGCATCCTAATGGACCAATCCGATGGGACAGGGATTTGCCTCCTACTTGTCGATTGTCAAGGTTAGAACACAACATGTGATGCAGATGAACTTGCTCAGCAGGTGTTAAAAATCTCTGTAATTGATTAATTCACTTATATCTATGTACCATTCATTTATATTGTTCCTTTCTTTGACGATATATGATACAGATACTGCTCTTTTACAGGGGTCTTAAAGCACTGATCACACCATTCCTGGCTGATTTATTGGAGAAAGACTCCCAAAAAACCATCAGTTTTGATGATTACTTCAACAAGGTTGATGATATAGTCTCTCGCAAAGCTTATGATGTCTTTTGTCCATCTTCTTTCTCCCACCTTATTATCTACACCAGAGTGAAAGATGAGTAAGTTTTTTAATTGAACATTCATTGATTTTTATTCCTGTAACTATTGTCAGTCTTAGCAATAATTTTGTATTAGTTCTACAGTGTGGAGAGTTACAAAAGGGGGACATAATGTTTAAAAAAGAGGGACATAGTGTTACAAATGTCTTTAACAGAAATTTTTACTATCAAACTGTAGCCAGTATTAATTTAATGCATACTTTTACTGGAGTGCTCAAAAGTTCATCTCTTCCACTGAAATGATGCAGAAATTATTAAATTTATTGATGCATGAGAAATCACTGAAAATTGTATGCTAAAATCAAGTCACAATTTTTAATGCACGGCGTCTAATTCTGATTAATTAAATTTTACACATCTGGAAGAATCAGATTTTAGCCCAAATTTTTAGGGGTAAAAAAAAAAACCCTCTGCCCTGTTTACTTTGTTATGCAATGATATTCTATGGGAAAGATCTGGCAAATCATGGCTGTAAGCTTTAAACTTAAATGTCCATTTTTTTGTAGCATGTCTCAGCTGCGACAGCTCATTACAGACCAGACTGAAATATTAGGCGGTGCCCAACTCCTGCTGCATGATGGGAAAATTCTGAATGATGAGTCGCGTGAACCAGTGTCTAACTACCTTAAGCATATCACTTCAGACAATCCCATCTTTGTCTTCAACAAACTGCCAGAATTCAAAAGGTTTATGAAACCTGCCTGTGGTAAGTTACGGAAATTAAAAGAAAAAATACAGTCCATGAAAACAAAAAAAACTTATACATAATATTAAAGAAGAAAAAAAACCAACTAAAACACAACTTGGGCAGTCAGGATCATCCTTACATTATTTTTCTTTTTTTGTGTGTAAAATCTGTCTGCTCTGTTGGTAAGAAATAGAGCAGAATAAACATTGGATGGAATGGTTCTGCTTGAGAAGAGTGGGCTTATTTTGGCAGATAAGCCAAAAATATTTGGTAAAATTCTATCATTTTATTTCGGCGGCTGTATCATTTATGGTCACCATGCTGCAAGGTCCAACTTTTCTTACATAATTTTTTATATAGTGTTCCCAATGAACATATTCATAATTTATTTTATATTTGAAAGCCACCCAAGAACAAAATAAATCAGAAAAATGTATTTTTATACATCAAAATATATTTTTTTAAAATTGTTCAAATTATTTGTAGGTCATAATTTTTTGAAAGTATTCTTTAGTATCTTATCTGTAATTTAACCCTGTGGGGCAGGATCGTTTTTGGAGTGTCAGTGCTAAGAAGACAGATCAGTTTTTACAAACTCGGCACTCGTAGTGCAAAAAAAAAAACCAACAACAAAAAAACTATTTCCTTTACATGTATAAAACTATATATATTCTTGTAGGAAATTGAATGAACTAATACAATCAGTATGAATCAAACTGAAATCTCAAGATTTATGTAAATGAGCTTTCCTGATTTGCATAATATATGCATGTAATTTTTTTGTTACACTTCAAATAAACATGACTTACTTAATCATTTGTGTGCATTTTTTATGGTTGAAGCTTGAATAAGTCCTAACACTTTTGTTTGGTTTGGGGAAAAAAGGCCCATGGAGGCCCTTCAGACACCTCTGGCACATGGTTATAATCTTTTTTTCCTGCTCCGACTATTTTTTGGTTAATAAGGGGAGAGACTACAATCAGGTTAGCACAATAGAAAATGAGTAAAATAAAGTAGTGTTAAACCTAAAAAAAAAGGAACGCAACAAGCTGCTATAGAAACACACTTCAACAGGCCCCCATTTATGACCTAGGGACCTTTCCATCAAGCTGGGTGTTACTGAGAAAGTTGTCTGTATAACTATTGGTCTCTCTCATATACATTTGAGTGATATTCAGTGTAAAAGTACTCAAATGGGTTGCTTATGCCTTGAGGCATATTTATAGGTCCAAATTTTCTAAATATTCATGGGGGTCATCTCTATCCAGTTCAGGATCCCTAACACTAAACCAAGGGTTGACAACATTATGGTTAACATCATCATATTGATTGTCATCATTACTTTCCTGGTTGTTTTCAGCAGTGTCTGTCAGATTCACTGCTTAAATATCAAAATCACAAAGGATAGTTTGTTCAGTGTCATTGTCAGACCTTTTGGAATTTAATGATGTTGCTTGCAACACAACAAAAGCTAGTAAACAATAAACACCCTGCCATTAAAATTCCATGATGTGCAGGAATGTGTAAGAAGCAATCTGATCAGCTCGAACAAAGACCACTCCAGCTAATCTCAAGGCTTGAATTATCGGCATTTGTATTTTTCGGTACTCGACCCTGGGCCGATAGATCAGCCCAGCCATCCCAAGAGGGTTAAAATAATCTTTTCAGCTATTGTATGCTTCTAGTGTGTAAAATCTTCAAATTCAAATCAGACCTGGTAGTTCTGGTGAGCAAAGCATTTTTACTTTCCCTAGGTTCATTTAAGGATATTCCCCCAGAGACAAATGTAGCCAGTGATTATCCCTTGGCCAAGAAAAACTTTGCTACTCTGTACTCAGTGAGGAATGCTGTTAAAGTTCTGGTACACAATGATATGCTGTTGACAAAAGCTGTCAAAATGTACAGGTATATTTTTTTTCCCTCTGTCTATTAAGGAAACTGCTGATGCTTAAACAAATAAATTAATAGCACAAACAAAAAACAAAACAAAAAACAAACAGTTAAATAGTTTAACTGAAAAGTAATTCAATAGTAGGAGTCAAAGGTAAATCAATAGTAGGAGTCAAAGGTAAATCAATAGTAGGAGTCAAAGGTAAATCAATAGTAGGAGTCAAAGGTAATTCAAAAGTTGAAGTTAAGTGTCATTTTATACTTCAAAAAAAAAATGTTTCTTTATAATACTAAATATGAATCATTTTTTGTGCATGTAAATTTGTTCATTGATTGATTTAGAATCAAAGAAAATAATTCTATGATACCTGGTAAGATTTGGCAGCCCTTAAGTGAGCAAGAATACTGTCTGATAAGAGCAGCTGTATGGCTCTTAAATGATTTAAATCATTTCCTATTGTTGTTTTGCAGCCGCTATGTGCAACAAAAAAGCAGCCAGCTAGAGCTCGCCACATCATATGTTACTCGAATGTGCAGTGATGCAAAAGCTTGGAAAGAGCAGCTATTTTCATCATTGGGTATACAAGTTGGCATGTTCAGAGCTCTTGCCAATAATGTCAAGCCAAATGGAATTGATGTGACCAGTCGTGTGAACATGCTTCAAACTGTTCAACAAACAGGCAATAGGGAGTGTACGCAGATTTACGGTGATGTTAGTAGCAGTTGGCATTTCAGTTAATTTATTTTTAAACATTAAAGGTTTCTACTAGAATCGCTCATTCTATCCTGGTTGTTTCTTTTTAATAGATAAAACATTGTTAAAATCTACTTTTTCCTTTAATTTTCTTAGTTCCTGGAAAAGGACAAGTAGGCCAATATTAAGATGGACTGAATATATTCCATTTGGTTGTAAATAAAACTGTTTTTATTAACCTCATTTTAAATCAAAGTTTAAAATGAAGTTTTTCTCCAAAAATATTTGATTGAAAAGGAATGTTTTGTGAAATAATGTATACTTGTCTTTTTGTTTTGTATCAGTTGTAATTGTTTTATATACACTTTTATTTAGCTGTACAGTGATGGTTTTCACACTAAAACAAATTATTAAAATGTTTCTTCACACTGTCCAATTATTAAAAAAATATATCTGCTATGTGTGTTTTCTTTAAGTTTGAATTTGCATTTTGTGTGACTATAATTAAAGCTTAACACTTTATAGTTTGACTTACACAAATTGTTTGTGTCTCATGGATTCACTTAAAAACTTTTTTGCAGTCCACAACCCTTTTATAATTACTTTCAGGAACTCTGTAAACATAATTTAAACCAGAGTCTTTGAAGTATTAACGCTGTAAGAAAAATATCAGATCGAACTGAACAACCCTGGTTAAAATACCATGCATCAGGCTGGTCTAGGTTATTCTGAGCCGTTAATCCAGTTTTCCCTTTCATTTCATCAGTTACACAGCAGGCTGGATAAAGCCACTTCCCTTCTACAAGACATAAAAAGTGGACATGTCCTTGACACTGACTGGGATCCTGCCAAAGGATGTGTGCCAACAGACAGATGGTACATTGGATTGTTTGTGTTAACCTTAGGTTTCATTTTTTGTAACACATCTTTTTACCTTGACCAATTTTTGTTGGCTCTTAATTTTTCTATCACTATAAACCAATAGCTTGATTGTGCTATGTCAGTACTTATGCATTCACACATATTTTTTTTATATTGCTAAAATTTACAGTGACAGAGAAAGCGGACACTTGTAATATAAAATAAGCTTTGTTCAGTCTGAGTAAAGTCAATGTTTCTGGATTACCAAATTTGAACAAATTACTTCTCATTGATCTTATACATTTATAGACAGTAAAGTGGAACCTCACCACAATGGGCCATGGGATCTCACAAATTCAGATATAAAGTGGTAATGGGAAGTTTACCCAAATTTTAATTCATTTGCACAAGAAATTTGTTTTTTCCCCACGTGAAAAAGAGTAAAATAAAAATGTATATATTTTCATTTAATACAATCACAAATCTCTTAAAACTAGTCCAACTTCAACACCACGTAGCTCACAAGAGTAAAAAAACATCATTTAAAAAAACAACTAAATCTCCCTACTTGAAGAAAAATCACACCCCTTTTGCACAGATTTGAGGCTTCTCAAACTGCATGGTATACTTTGTCATCTTAAGCAAAACAATGAGCTGTAAAAATATTATCTGTCCATTATTTTGAATATAAGTCAATGCCACTTTATGATGGATTTAGATAATAATCCAATTTCTTACATTAGACACTAATGCACATATGTACATGGAAAAAAGTAAAATATTGTAAAACCCCACTATTAATACAATCCAAATTTACGGTCTCCAATTATCAGGTTAAAGCCATGTTTACTGTTGCAACATTAGTTTTGATGGAAAAGTATGTACAATGTCATTGATAATAATTTTTTTTTCAAAATGAGCCATAAGTTAGTATTGTCTGATGTATTACAAAGAATTCAGACAAACAAAAAATCTTACCATGTCAGTGCATTGCATACAGTACCAAAATTAAATTGTCTTTAAAATTGACAATTACCAATCTTTGGTCACACCAATGTACAAGGGAATTGAAATTTATCCACTTACCTTTTTCTTAATCCTTAGCACCGAAAAGATGGATAATATGATACAGAGGCTACAGAAAATCATGAATTCATTCCGTGATGACAGATCCAAGGGTCAACTCAACAACAATGATGAACAAATCCATAGATTTGATAAGTAAGTTTTATTAGTGTGCTGGATATTTCTTAGGATTGAAACAGTGTCTCTTACAGATGATAGTGTGCTCTGTCAAGCTCTAAGTTTTAATGCTTCATGTCTTCACCTTAAATTTGGGAAACAATGTCATGGAAGTATTACTGTAACATGCAACATAAATTGCTTGACTGAAATTATGACTTGTGTATCCTCAACTGTTGGTAGAATGTGTTTCTATGATGATATTATGTAGAATTTAACTTGACTAAAATCAGTTATGGGTAGCTAGAAATGCAAGGAATTATATTTTCTTTCTTTCTGGAACACACAACGGAAAAGGTCCAGCATCTAATCTACTTAAGAAAATCAGCAAACTATTGAGCCTAAGCTCATGAAGTCTTCTCCGGTGCACCCTCGCTACTCCCAACCGGCATTCAACCACTCCCCCAGTGGCCTTTATTCCAATCAGGTCCCTGAGACAGCCACACCCATCCTTCCTCTCCATTGACTATGCCAGTGAGGCGGCATCCGAGAAGGATCACCTGGCCGGCTGGGGTGCTGCTCTCACAGCAACTGGGCCGGACTTACTAGGGGCTAGGGTGGATATATTTTATGTCCCTATATCCCCCCTTGTCCAACCCAGGGGGACGCCTAGGTGTTTAACAGACGCCCTCTAATAGGGTTTACATGGTTGACAAACTCACACAGCAGCTGGGAGAGAAAAGAGGTTGCCTAGGAGCAGTACACTCAAAGACTGCATATTTAGAATCATTGGTGAGGGTTGCCATGTTCCTCTCCTCATATCCATACCGGAACTGTAATCATATCTAAACCTGTTTCTGCATTATTTTCAAATGTAGTTGGTAGGAACCATACAGCCGTGCTCTTTCTAATGAAGTTTCCTTGCGTTACTTTTGCCTTCCAGTGCAGGTCCCCTACACAGTTATACTGTTCCCCGGGTAACTTTTCAGGTCCAGCATCTAAATTATGCCAATGATAGTTTCAAAATATTATAATTGTTTAAAATAATAGGATAACTTTCAAAACAACTAATTAAAAGATAGTGCACAAATCTATTGGAGCATAATTTAATATTTACATACTCATTGAAATCCAGTTGATGGGCTTATATTCCTGCTATATATTTCTTGATAAGCTTAAGCAACATATGAAATTGGTATGCTTTCAGGCAGGGCCAGCCTTAGGCCACTGCAACCTATGCGGCCGCAGTGGGCCCTGCACTTTATTTTCGAATACAAAATCTTAATTTTCACTTATTATCCTTATCCCTACCCAGATTAGGCCCAGCGCAATCCGTTTTGCACAGGTCCCCGCAATTGTTAGGGCCGACCCTGCTTTCAGGACACAACTCAAAATATAAAATTTAAACATCTTATGTTTTTTATTGCCAAAAAAAAAATTAATATTGCTGATTTTTTAACAGAGACACTTAAGTTAATAAATAAGAATAATAAAGTTTATTTGAAAAACACGCTTCATCCCCAAAAAGCTCGAATACAAAGACAACCATATTTAAAAAGAGAAATGAAAACAATCTATATTTTACCACATTTAAAAACAAACACAATACTACAAAAACTACATACTAGCATACCAAGTCAAGGTCTTTAATCCCATTCAACCATAAAAAAACACGAGCCAATATGCATTAACTGGAAAAAAAATGGTAGACAACATCACCCCAGAAGGTGTTTGCGAAATAGATGTGTTTTTAAATCGGTTTTAAAGGACTCCAGTGGCTGGCTGTTTCTGAGAGCGACAGGAAGGGCGTTACAAATTGTTGAACCAGCAAATGCGAAATAGCGCTTTCCGTAAGTCTCAAGGCGAACATGCGGTATTGATATTTTGCCACTATCAGATGAGCGGAGCTGTCGTTTGGGTACATAAGGCGTCATGAGTGCTTTGAGATAGGACGGCGCAAGGTCATGTAAGCGGCGGTAACACAAAGTTGCAATTTTGTACTCTATGCGATCACGGACCGGCAGCCAGTGCAGCTCTCTCAGAAGTGTTTTAGCATGGTTGAATTTGCGCTTGCGAAGAACAATGCAAGCCGTATTCACTCTACTTATGCTTATAACAAAGATTTAAATTAAAAAGAAATATCAACTTTAAATGATATAGGCTTTTAAAAATCACATTCATATAGTTCAAACTCATTATATTCATGTTTACAATTGCAGGAATAAAATGAAGGAGATTTGTGTCACCGCCCAAACATTAGTAGATGACGACTGCACAAAGAAAGCCCAACAGCTATTTCTTTCCTTTAAACAGTTTTACAGGTATCTTTTTATCTCTTTGATGTTATTCTTACATGATTAAACTGTAACTTATCAAGGGTCTATTTTGGTAGCATACTTCCATTTGCAAATGAAACATGGGGTTAACGCATTGTTTTTACTGTATAAAAGAGGCTTTGAAACTTTTCTTTTCCTCCTAAAACAGACTGTTCAACAGTTTATGCATGTGTAGTTTCCCTTATAGCAACCACATTTTTTTCATCACCAGCTTTTCTATTCTTAATTAGAAACTTATCCATTGTATGTGTAAGTGTAATCCAACTCCAATCTGATGGGAAATTTTTATAAAGTAAGTTTTAATACTTCCAGGCATCAAAATCTCTGCCAAAACTTTGAGAAGCCAGGGAAACTAATGCTAGGTTTAAGATAATGTAAAATTAAACAAGAAAAATACTAAAGAAATAAGGCAAAAACCATTTTTAAAGAAAAAAATGTGCAGTATAAGTATGTTGGCTTTCCCATTAAATGAATTTGGCAATTAAAATGCTAAACTGGCAGCCCTTTATATTCTTTTGGGGGAAAAGACGAAATGCAGTGCAACCTTGCATGATCCATTTATCTGCTTTATTCCTTTAGTGTCTAAAACATGTGTGAATATTGGTATGAAGTATTTTCGCATGACATTTTGAAAAACACTGACAAATTGTAATCTGTTTAAAAACTTGTGGTTAGAGCAATTAATATATTATTTTCTACCAAAGCTTTCTGTTGTCACAGCCTTACAGAAGAACAGTTGAAACAGTTATATCCTAAAATTTAACTAGAATTTTAACATTTTAACTTGTTCCTTCCTCCCCTTCCAGCAAAGCTGTACAGATAAATGATGCAGGAGAAAGACTAGATGGACTTATCTCTGATATATCCAATGCCCAGACAAGACTTATCGGCAAACTCAAAGGGGTAAATAGAGATTTTTAAAAATTAATTATTCCTATTGTTTATATTTTGAAGATTTAATTAAAATTATATTTCGCTTCGCAAGCTTTGCAGAACTGTGTAGTTCCAACCCATTGTTTTTTAATTTTGGATTTCATTTTGTTTCACATTTGCGAGGGTTTATGGTAACTCTTTTTATTTGTTATTTCCTTGTAAAATATAATGTTAATGCTTTACCCATCACACAGTCTGGGAAGCAGTGTTTGAGTCAAGCAGAAGTCTGTCTCCAAGCATTAGGGCAACCCAACAATGTTGCCAATGGAGATGTCAGTGATAGGGGAGATAATGCTAGCAGCACTTCCAGAGGCAGCAGACAGGAGAGGCTGGACAGTGTTTTGGATAGGTGAACATTAAATTTTAATAAACAACAATAGTTGTTAGCAAATGGTTTTAATGTCATAAATTGGGCTATGGGGAAGGAGTAAAGAATATACATCTTCGTTCCGTTACTGGATTTATTTTCTTTAGTAAGTAAGTTTTTTTACATATGATTATATACTTTTTAAAAGTGACTGGATCTTCAATTAAATTTATCTTTAAAAAAATCAAAATAATGATTTGTTTTAAAAGTGTTTTCATATAATAACTTTTAACACTTTTCTCTGCAGCCTCCAGACCACTCGATCCTCACTGGAGGAAGTGAGGGCTCTTATCACAGAAAACACAACACTTATGGAAAAGTAAGTCTTTTCTTGTGATTTATTAAGTTAAATGTTGAGTTCACATTAAGTCCTTTTCATATAACCATGTCACAATTCTAGTAGCTCTGTGACCATGATTATAATAAGTTGCTGACATCTTATGTTTTTTTCCATTGTGTTTAGCCATTTTATGAAAACATGGTTTAGTGATCTATCCTGACATATCAAATCAGTGCTAATTAGAGTTAGAGTGAAGATTAACAATACAAATTTTAAAGTAATGGCAATTTTAGATAAGGGGAATGAGTTGTTCAATATTTTTGTGGTATCAACCTGTTTTTATCTTGCTACACACTAAGATAAATACAAATTTTATCAACACACAATGGAAGTATTGATAAAAAATGTTGGTTAGGTTGGTTGGGTTAGTCATTCTTTCAATTATAATTTTTAAAAAATAAATATTTTATTGGTCTACATTAAGGATAAATTTGGTAACAACTGGTAGTGCAAATATGAGAGATATTGATAAAGTTCTAAACATGTGTTTCTAGATATCAAAATAAGAAAGTTATTCTGACAAAAAATTATTTCAAATGGTGATGCTTTCTTCATCAGATTCAGTTCACTGGGAGAACCAACAGAGGAATACAAGTCTTGGGAATATGTCTTACCTTCTTGATGTCACCCTTACATTCATTCTCATGTAAGATCAGTGTTTCATGGAAAGATAGTTGATGTTTATGCAATTGTGTTATGAATATGCTAATACATTCAAACACATTATGACCAAGAACCTAATGAGGTTAACATATCGTATATTACCTTGTATAACTTTATCAACGTATCATGTGAGCCCTATCTTTTTTGTTTAAAAAAAACCCCCCTAAAATGCCATGTCCAATTATAATGCATTTTGTTAATCTCGTTCCCTATAATTATAAATAATACAGTATGAATTAACAATAAAAATGTCAAAATCCTTTAAATTATTATAATTAAAAAAATTAATGTTACTCATATCAATACAACTCTGCTAATATCCTGTCAAGGGGGCGCTATTTACATTCTTTCTTTATGTGCAGATACAATGAGCACATTGTCGCCAAATGCGAGTGGGTCATGAAGATTTGGTTGCATGGGCGTTATTGTTAATAGAAAATTGCTTGCATGCACACGTGCGTATAATACGAACCCGTAACTTTAATTTGCATTTTTTACCATAAATTTCTCCCCTTATACACTGTAATTTATGGGAATCACCTGTGAAGCTTAAGATGGCACTTTAAATCACACTTGTTTCTGTCAAGACATTAGTTTATTATAAAACAGTGCCCTAATAGGAAAAATTGTGTTTAACCCTTTACAGTACGATGCGCCCGAAATGCGCCGATTTTTTCCTTAAGTCTACAGTCAGTTGCGGCCAAACCTGCCCGTTTCGAGGTTGTTTACTTTCGTTCTTAGCACAGCGGAAATCCATTGCGCATTACTATTTATAGTTCTACCGGAAGAAAGCCTCGTTGTCTGGATTTATTTTGAGACTAGTTTGACCGCGGTGTATTTAGGGGCTAATTTTCTATGATTTTTTAAAAAGTTGTGATTTTTTCGCTGTAAAATATGGCTATCTAAGCCTTTGATACCTTTTGAAAGAACTTGGGCCTAATGAAGTTTCACTATTTCATGAGTGGGAGGGTCTCTGAAACTTTTTTAGGTTTAACTTTTGCTTTAATCATTTATTTGTATTTAGATATTTTTTATTTTATTTTCTTGCTTCTAGTTTATTTTCTGTAAATTAATTAGATAAAGAACCTACATTTAAAATGGAGTTATGTCCCTTTGCTTGGGCGCTTGGAGTAGACAAGGCTGAATAGGCTTGGACTGTAAAGGGTTAAATAAAATACCTGGTTTAAAAAGATCACAGATATCACTTTGATAGATACCGTATTTATTGGCGTATAACACGCACCTCAACTTAAGAAGGACATTTCAGGAAATAAAAACTAAACATTCTATCGGCGTATAATACGCACACATGATTTGCCTCCTATTTTTGGGGAGAAAAAGTGCGTGTTATACGCCAATAAACAATAAATACGGTAAATATTCTCAGACTTTTTTGTAGTAACAGGACACAAGGTAGTTTTAAGTTTGTAGGAACATTCCACTAATTTCTTGCACATTCTGTAGATTATTAGAAATACTACTTGGCCTCTCCATTGCAACATTTAATAATAATTTTTTTAATGTTTTATAAATAATTTGTTCACACATAAACCCTTTTGTTGGTAAATATAATTAATTGCTTTGTACAGATGTAAAGAATAATATTTGAGATGATTTGTTTTTGATATAGCATCCCATGTGTTCAGTGCTCTACGAGAGTTGTGAAGGCAAGTTATAATAACTAAATGTAATAGAGAATTTGACAACTTGATCTATTTAAATCTATGTGAGTCTTGTCTCAACAAAGGTTCTGCAACCTAACAATGTTTTGAGAAGGGGGACTCTTTGTAGGAAAACATAAAATATTTTTCTTCAGAAACCTTCATTTAAAAGAGTTTTAGTTTTGGCTTCAGTTTTTTAGAGTTAAATACAGATTTTTACCAATAGCTGATTTACATTAATAATTTTATTATTTGTATCGTAAATTGTAATGTTTGTAAAATAAGAAATACCTTAAAATGTCAATAGTTTTTTTTTACCATGTGCACATTTTGTATGAAAGGAGTTGTGCTGCATTTATAACAAAAATGCACCACAAAGAACTAACTCTAATAAAAAAAGTATCATTCTACCGATTTTAAAATGATTAGCTTGAGGAGCAATTAGTATTGAATATATTTAAATAAATGTTTGAGGTTGATTGTAAATGAATGTTAGTTCATGACCTTGACTTGATGACTAATAGGAATAAGGACGTTGTAGGAAGTAACTATTAAATTAGGGTTCAGATGAAATTTAGATAATTACTCATGTTGTTCTAATTATCAGTTGATTTGCTTTTCAAAGTTTGACATTATGGCTGTGAAATGTTTTTTTATAACATAACTATGATTTATATATGTTGATTATATTGATGTGTGTACATTGACTTAATTATTAGTTAAAAGTATATGATAATAAAAGTATGTTCAATATTTAGCATGAACAAAGCTATTTATTCTACATAATCAAATCGCAATATATTTGTTCCTATGCAGGTCTTAATAAATGAGACTGATGAAATAAAATAAATAAAACAATATAATATAAATCATTAGATAGGTCTTTTTGCTTTTATTCCAATAACATTGTTCTTTCATGCCAGGTCATTTGTTTGTATTATGATTAAAACGTCCTGTCATGCCAGGTCATTTGCATGTATTATATTTACAATTTCCTGTCATGCCAGGTCATCTGCATGTATTATAGTTATCATGACCTATCACACCAGGTCATTTGTTTGTAATAGTGTTACAATGTCCTGCCATGCCAGGTCATTTATTTGTAACAGGGTTACAATGTCATGTCATGCCAAACCATTAACCTTTTTGAATTTGTTTGGCATTGTCTTCTCTATATGTTGTCACATTTTTTATTCCATTCATTTAAATTTTAAAAGATTGGATGCCATGCTAAAATCTAATACTCTTGGTTAGTCAATGAGTTGCCTCATAGCCAATAAGAGTATAAATAATTTCACCAAAATAATAATTTCATGTTCTGTCAACACGGAACCATTTCAATTTACTGACACCCCAGTACAACTGTGCATTTTTGCTCTAATTTGTAAGTTATTTACACAAGATAAACCATGTAACAGGATTGTTAAAAAATGCTGGAATAATAAAAGAAAAAACACCACAAAGTGAATAAAACTCAAGTGAGAAGCTAATAAATTAAACTATGAAATATTGTAAATATGTAACGGTTGGAACGGAAATTTTCTTATAAGGCAGACTTCACTTGAAAACCAGGGCTGCAGATTCCAAGTGGCTCGACATTTTTTGTCTGAATTCAAATGGTTTAACTTTTTCAATTTCAATACTGAAGTAATTTGCGATTGGAATGTCATCACTCAGTGTTAGCCATTGGTTCCAATTTAAAAAAAATTCTATTTAACCTTGTATAAAAGTAATACCAAAACATTTGAGATGTGCAACTGCCAAAGGCTGAAGGTGTGAACTTATTCTTTATTATTGCCACACACATTGATAATTTAACATTACACCAATAGTGTAACCATGATAACCTGTCCTTTTTATAAAAAAAAAACAACAGCCTGCAATGTTGCATGACTAGACTATGTGATGGTCAGGGTCAACATAAAAAAAAATACATATAATTCTATTTTCTTGTTTCACTTTCAATGATGTATATTTGTAAGTTTTCAAACTGTCATTAAAATTTTGAAGGGAGACTTATGGGCCCTTGAGCTGCCTTGTAGTATAAACAATTTTAAAATTGATATATGTGGTGTTTGGAATTTCACTCATCTCTACTTAAATCAGGTAATAGGATATGTAATTTATTTTAAGTTTTAAATATAGAGAAATGAAGTAATAGGATTTTAAACTGAAGTAATGTTGATCAAATTAACTGCCACTGAAAACTGAAAGCAAATATTTTAACATGTTCAATCAGCTGATGCCCTGTTAAATTCCTTCCCTTTTATTCTGGCCCATGACAATGAGTCTCCCTTTAAAAAAAAGAAGAAAAAAAAGAGTCTCTGTTTCTGGGGCTCAGGTCAATCTAACAGCATAACTTTATAGCACATGCAAACTTTTGATTTTAAAAAATGTTATTTGACATTGTGTTTCTTTGTTCATATTGCCATTTGTTTTCTTTGTTATGAGTGCCTGAGCTAAAGCTAAGAAGCAACCCCTTCCAAGTGTATCATCTACAGAGCCTCCTCTCATTAAATGGACCGGTAAACAGATTTTTGGGCTGTAAGCCACTTGCTACTGTATTTCTTTTCATTGCTTGACAGGAACTGAAAGTGCATGTTGTCTTCAATGTTATGAAATTGTTTGTAAGGGAGAAGTCTTTCATCCCACGATTGACCCAATGATTTAAATAATTGTAAAGAAAACATTTGCTGTCTAGTGCTTTCAAAGAATTAATTGTAAATGAAAATGGAAAATAGACATTTATTCTCCCATGATATTTTCTAGCACTGTTAAATAATGGGATCTTATCTGTTAGAATTTTTAGTGGTTTAACCAATATTATCCAATTCCTGTTTGTGATTCTATTTGATGCCTTATAAAACTGCTCTTTGAAAGGTCTGCAGCTGTTTTCAACTGGTCAGTCAAGACACACAGGTGTGTCCCAAGACTTTGCTGTAAAGCAGGGGTTCTCAAAGTGGGGGTTACACCCCCCCCCCCCCCCCCCGGGGGGAGTGGGGGTTTCAAAAGGGGGGGTTACCCCCCCCCCCCCCCCCCCCGGGGGAAGTGGTGAGATGCCCAGGGGAAGTGGTTATATGCTCCAGGTGGGCAGTAAAATGCTCAGTGGATTTAAGGAGGGTGGCCGTGGATTATATCGGAAAACCTTTTATGAAAATTTAAAATTTATTAAAGATTTGAAACCATGATTAACATTTTTTTTATCATTATCAGACTTGTCAAAGTATCAAGAATAGACATCAGTTAAATGGTTACGAGCTATCAAAAACAAGATATATTTACTTTGTATTGTGAGAGCATTATACTGTACAAAAGTAGTGAAGATACCTTATAGAGGAACCGCTGACATTTTTTCTACACATTTACTGGGCGCTGAAATAAGACTTTAAATCATTCGCTTATTCATTCTATATAAATGTTATCGATTGTTATCAATGTAAGTTTTTCAAACAAGAACTTATTTATTTTAAATTTACAGAAGGCAATGTCTTGTCAGAGATGGTCACCAATTTGCTAACAGTTGGAATCTAACTAGTATTATGTCATTTTATGTCTTTATTTCAAGAATGTTAGTTAGCCTTGGTTCAGAAGTAAAATGTCTTTTTTCTAAAGTAGAGTGGTGCAGCTGTGCATCAGTTTGACTACTTACTTATAAATGAAAGAAAACGTCACCGTCAAGGTCGGGTTATCACCATGGTTTTAATATTATTTTTATTTAAGTTCCTAATATCTTTAATTTTTATTGACTTATTCATCCCCAATTTCTGAGGGATAAAAACTGAATGTTATTGACTTTCACAAAGCGAGTGTGTAAGTGGATTTTAGAAACTATTTGAAACTTGAATCTTTTTTAAAAAGACTAATGCATCTCTCAGCGCTGACTGCTGGTGGCTCTAAAGTCATCAGACACGACCTAGTTACTACTTGAAATATTTTCAGATTTTAGTGAAATCAGTTTACCATTGCTGGAGCTGTGTCAATCTTATTAGAACCAACTGAATAAGCTCTACTTCCTTATCTAAATCAACTCTGCTCATTGGCGATATCCAAGCCCATCTGAGTGAAAGGGGGTGGGGTTTAACAAGATGATAAAATAAGAAGCATCATTAGGTTTGGTGTTACCCAGTGATCAATCTTCCTCCTCCTTTTCAGACTTCCCCATGGACCTCACTGAGTCTGCCCTTTTCTGTTTTGAGAACCACTGCTGTAAAGTAATAAATGATTTCAAAAGGTTTTGTTGATGTTTTCATGTTTATCCACCATGTAAGATTGAAACTGTAAATAGCCATCTTGCTCCTCAATGAAACACTCAATATTAAACAAAGTATTCGTTTTGTCACAGAATTTTTGTTGCAGTTTTTTTTAGTGTTGAAGATAAAAACTGTTGCTCTAAGGTATCTGTTAGCTAAATATTATGTTAAAAATCTAATTGTTTTTTCGAAGAATCAGCTCAGTCTGAATGAGCAGCATTGAATCAAAGAGGAATTAGAATTACATTTTATTGTATGTCAACAGGTCATGGAAGTTTCACGAGAAATCTAATTATTTAAGTTTTCCTAGCACCCTATGACAAATCTAGAAAACAGACATAGCTTGCTTAAATGTGAGCATTCAGCTTTGGGGAGCAAAGCCGATACAAAGCAAAGACATTATGAAGACCTAGTTAAGAAGAATGCACTAACTGCTATCAGGTGCTCAGAACATTTTACATACAAATGAATAAGAAAGTAAAACAACTAGAGTGGGGCAAATCCCAGAAATGATGTCATAAATTTCTTTAATGACCCCCCCCCCCCCGCCTCATTTTTCCCCCTTCCCTTTCTCAAAAAAAAATGATTATGCCTTAATTTGCATTTCCCTGAGTCTATAATAAATATTCTCTATGTGAGCATTATCCAAATGGTCTTCTGGGGAATGATGCCGGTTCGCAAGCCTTTCGTTGCCGGTCGGCCCAACATGAATATCTATGGTCAAATAAAATAAAATATAATAAATAAATCTGCCACCGATCCCTGTTGCATTTTTTAAACTTGTCCACTGGTCCACCAAACTAAAAGGTTGGGAAACCCTGCTCTATGTTATAATTTTAATTGCACTTAAATATATTTTCAAGTAAATGTTAAAATTAATTGGGTGTGATCTGACCCATAAACCTTTATTAATAAACTAGGCTGTAGTTTTGTGTTAAATAATCATTATTTCTCTTGATATATCTTAAAAAGTTACTTTTGCGCAATCACAAAACATCTCAAAGAATGTTGCAACCTGTTATTGGTGTTCTGTTTTATCTCACCCTGGGGAATGATGAACTGATGTGTTACAATGTTTCACATAAAACCTAATTGGAAATAACCAATCCCCCATATCTAAGTACAAACTGTACTAAACTTGAGGCCTTAAACAAGTACATGTCTTATAAGACAGTGCTTCTCAACTTATGGGATACTGCAGGCCCTGGCGGCCAGTGGATCATTTAATCTAGATTGAATTCACTTTCACTTTTTGTTTTTTATCTAACAATTCTTTTGACAATATTTTTGATTGATTAATGATTGTCTCTATTGATTGATAGATTTCTATCATAAATATTTTTGATTGATTGTCTTTGTCTCTATTGATTGATAGATTTCTATAATAAATATTTTTGATTGATTGTCTTTGTCTCTATTGATTGATAGATTTCTATAATAAATATTTTTGATTGATTGTCTTTGTCTCTATTGATTGATAGATTTCTATCATAAATATTTTTGATTGATTGTCTTTGTCTCTATTGATTGATAGATTTCTATGATAAATATTTTTGATTGATTGTCTTTGTCTCTATTGATTGATAGATTTCTATAATAAATATTTTTGATTGATTGTCTTTGTCTCTATTGATTGATAAATTTCTATCATAAATATTTTTGATTGATTAATGATTGTCTCTATTGATTGATAGATTTCTATAATAAATATTTTTGATTGATTGTCTTTGTCTCTATTGATTGATAGATTTCTATCATAAATATTTTTGATTGATTAATGATTGTCTCTATTGATTGATAGATTTCTATAATAAATATTTTTGATTGATTAATGATTGTCTCTATTGATTGATAGATTTCTATCATAAATATTTTTCCAATACGATGTATAATTTTTATATTTGACAAAATGTCTAGTTCTTCCTGTAACATCAAAATAACGACTTTATTCCTGGGTTTGTTTTCTTTAAAAATGTCCTTCTTCTTCTTTAAGATGTGCACCAAGTTCATTAGGTTTTGTGGTGCTCTGTATGTGAATGTCTGGTCGTTTCTTTGGTGGACGTTTTTATCTCATTTAATTCATTAAGTGTGTGGGAGTCAGTGTTGGGGAGTCCAAGATTGGAAGTAGTCATAGGGAGTCCATGATTGGGTGTCAGTGTTGGGGAGTCCAAGATTGGAAGTAGTGATAGGGAGTCCATGATTGAGTGTCAGTGTTGGGGAGTCCAAGATTGGAAGCAGTGATAGGGAGTCCATGATTGGGAGTCAGTGTTGGAGAGTCCAAGATTGGAAGTAGTCATAGGGAGTCCATGATTGGGTGTCAGTGTTGGGGAGTCCAAGATTGGAAGCAGTGATAGGGAGTCCATGATTGGGAGTCAGTGTTGGAGAGTCCAAGATTGGACGTAGTGATAGGGAGTCCATGATTGGGAGTCAGTGTTGGGGAGTCTAAGATGGGGATTCCATGATTGGGAGTCAGAGTTTAACCATTTTGGCTGGAGTTGAAATGTCCAAATTAATTGCTGCATCAACGGCATAAAAAATGCCTTTAAAATTTTGAAATTTGTGCAGTCATTCTTTAGCCATCATCTGTAGCAGTACCAGCAAGCTACCATCTTGTCCTGATGTTTAACATCTCCTAGCCATCATCTGTAGCTGTACCAGCAAGCTACCATCTTGTCCTGGTGTTTAACATCTCCTAGTAAAAAATATACATTGTTCCATTTCTCTGTGCGCCTGTTGTGATGACTAAGCTATAGATTATTATTGTTTTGTTTAACTTAACTTGAGTCCATAATAAATATTTAAAAAAGAGGATTCATTTTAAAATATGATTTAATTAAGGACTAATGTACTTAATTGTTTTATGTCTCAAATAATGGTGTCTTTAATAACTCGTGTGATAGTCAGTTTAAAGTGTCTTTAATTACATGTTTGGTAGTCAGTTTCATTGTCTTTTAATGTCTGTCAATCAAATATTGGGTTTTCTTTTAATCACTGTGGCAATGATACACATAATTTGTTTTGATTTGTTAATAAAAACTTTGTTGTACAATTTACTTTTCAAGAATTAAAAAGCTTATACATTTTTTTAATTAGTGAGTCTCCATTTACATGAATTTATTTTCATATGAATGTCTATTTATGACTGTCTGTTCAAAGAAGTTTCTGTTTTGAAAAAAAAAAAATGAACATTCTTTTCCATGAGTGTTAGGGCTTCTAGCTAGAGTTATGGTTCTTTACTTTTAAACTACAATTTGTGATACCCAAGGTTTCACCTTGACTTTAGCATGTGGAGTGATTTTTTACCAATGGCATGGGAAGTGAAGATTCACTTACTGTAACTGTATGTGAAATGAAGTTTAACTCTCAAATGTCAAGAGAATTTACACCTATTACATTTGAAGTGAAGTTGCCCCTACTGCGTGTGAAGTTTCACCTATTACATGTGAAGTGAAGTTTCACCTTTTACATGTGAAGTGAAGTTTCATCTATTACATGTGAAGTGAAGTTTCACCTATTACATGTGAAGTGAAGTTTCACCTATTACATGTGAAGTGAGTTACCTCTGTTACCAGTCAACACTTGACAGTGTTCCCAGCATCCCGGTTTGTAACGGAATTATAATAAGGTCTACTTAAAACACCTAGCGTTATTTCATTAACATAACAGTTAAGTCTTTTCTCTGAGAATAAATTGATCTTCGATCTTACAGTTAATGGCAGTTCAGCGGTAAGAAACTAAAAACACCAGTTTAAAACTTTCCTGAAGATAACCATTTTTTTCAATAAGTCATCAACTTGTTTCGGCGCTGATGTGGATTCTGGACGCTAGACTTTGACTCTATGGTAGGAAATAACCCCTGGAGTCCCTTCTAGTATTTGTTTTGGACGCTAGACTTTGACGCTATGGTAGGAAATAACCCCTGGAGCCCCTTCTTGTATGTGTTTGGGTGTTGCTCTTACAAGCTCCTTGAACAAACAGCTTAATTTTTTGGTACAATATTTTTTTAAATTTTAGTATTAATTTTTGTGCGTGTTGGGGGGGGGGGGAGGAGGGGTTGTAAGGATTTTTCTGTATTTTTTAAAATAAATAATCTATAGCATCATATAATTGGCTATTCCCGCAAATGCTAGATATCCTATAAATGTCTAGTTGTAGATTTATCCTTACCTAGTATGAGTATGTCTCCGTTAAAACTGATCGCAACTTTAAAAAGAATCACTTTTCTCTCCCTTTGAATGCCTGAGACCAATTCTCTAACTACAAATAATAACTACGATTACCTGAATGCCGAACACAGATTTATCCTGAGTGGCATTAAAGTTAAATTTATTATTTTTTTTGAAATATTATTGAATGTAGACTAGCTGGATGCTAAACATTGTAGCTGGATGCTAAACATTGTAGGGCTATACATTAAGCAGGGCCGTCGCAAAGGCCCTGCAACCCCAGAGGCTGCAGGTGCGACCCCTGAGGCTGCAGGTGCGACCCCTGAGGCTGCAGGTGCGACCCCCGAGGCTGCAGGTGCGACTCCCGAGGCTGCAGGTGCGACCCCCGAGGCTGCAGGTGTGACCCCTGAGGCTGCAGGTGTGACCCATGAGGCTGCAGGTGCGACACGACCCCTGAGGTTGCAGGTGCGACCCCCGAGGCTGCAGGTGCGACTCCCGAGGCTGCAGGTGCGACCCCCGAGGCTGCAGGTGTGACCCCTGAGGCTGCAGGTGTGACCCATGAGGCTGCAGGTGCGACCACTGACGCTGCGGGGCGAAAATTTAAAAAAATACGTTGAACGCAGGAGCCGCCAAAAGTCACGGCTTCGACTCCGTATTTAAGTATCCGCTAGTTTATATTTCCTATTAGTTTTGGGAAATACAGCGGTCTCTTGTCCGAACAGATTCAACATTAGTTGTTTGATGTTTGTTTCGTTTTTCATAGTATGAATGTTAAGGTTTTGTATTTCATGAAACATTTAACATATGAGTCGATTTGAGGTGGAAACAAATGCTTAGCATTATTATTTTGTACGCCGTTTGTCTGGCTTTAACCACTATGACTTAAAAATATTATTTTAACCACTGTCTATTATTGCCGCCAGTGATGCTTGATTTATGTGTAGTTATATACAAAATAAGTTTCTAAATACCGGTAGTCTTTGGTTTTAAAACTTCGGCATAGCTTTAGTTTAATTTTAAACCAGGGTTTCCTTATCTTTCCTACATTCTGCGCCACTACCAATGGTTTGCCAAGTCTGCACCTCCTACAATCTTTCCTACATTCTGCGCCACTACCAATGGTTTGCCATCTTTGCACCTTCTACAATCTTTCCTACATTCTGCGCCACTACCAATGGTTTGCCAAGTCTGCACCTCCTACAATCTTTCCAACATTCTGCGCCACTACCAATGGTTTGCCAAGTCTGCACCTCCTACAATCTTTCCTACAGTCTGCACCACTACCAATGTTTTGCCAAGTCTGCACCTCCTACAATCTTTCCTACATTCTGCGCCACTACCAATGGTTTGCCAAGTCTGCACCTCCTACAATCTTTCCTACATTCTGCGCCACTACCAATGGGTTGCCAAGTCTGCACCTCCTACAATCTTTCCTACAGTCTGCACCACTACCAATGGTTTGCCAAGTCTGCACCTCCTACAATCTTTCCTACAGTCTGCACCACTACCAATGGGTTGCCAAGTCTGCACCTCCTACAATCTTTCCTACAGTCTGCACCACTACCAATGGTTTGCACCTCGCAGTTACTGGTAATAATAATAATAATAAAGTTCATTTCAAAAACACGCTTCATCCCCAAAGGCTCGAAGCGCGGTACAAAGTCAACAAAATACAAATCTATAATTTACCACATTTAAAACAAACGCAACACTACAAAAACTAATTACTAGCATACAATTGCAAAGTCTTTCTAGTCATTTCAACCCCAAGCAACACAGCCATTATGCATTAACTGGAAAATAAGGTTGACAATCATCACTTTCGCATTTGCTGGTCCAACAATTTGGAACGCCCTTCCTGTCGATCTCAGAAACAACCAGACACTGGAGTCCTTTAAAACCAATTTAAAGACACACCTATTTCGCAAACACCTTCTGGTATACTCGATACTAGTAACACTACAGATAGAATCTATATGGAGAACAAATTAATAACAAGATTTGGTTCGTTTTCTCCATATGGGATGAACCAAATCCACAATTTTACCTAGCTGCTATGTCTTTTTCTTGTTTGGTTTTTCCATTTATGTTCAAATCACTTCCTTTCTACTTCTCTTTAATTTGTTTTTGTCTGGTTTTAGCGCCCTCTCCTGTTTTTTTCTTTTTTATGTAGGATATGTATATTTATGTTATGTCAATTTAATTTATACTTACTTAAATGTGTTTTGTTTGTTTGTACTGATGAAGGCATGTGCCGAAACGTTTACTTGTGTATAATTATTATTAAAGCGTAACTTATATTGTTATATTGACACAATTTGTTTGTGTCTTATTAATCTATTTTAAAGCTTTATTGCAGTCCAACACTGTTAGTTTAGTCCAATTAGTTTATATGCTGAATGCAAATGGAAAAAACAACATAACCCCTTACTTATAATACTTAGACTACCTTTTCTAAATATTTCAAAACTCGCCAAACAGATTTTCTTGTCATAACTAGTGAATCCCTTTGATCTCTTTCAGTTGTTTAAATGAAGAAATAGTCCAAATTTAATGTATTCCACCAGAAAAGCAACAAATTACAAACTGACATATCTAGTGAGTTTATTCAAGCTTACATATAAAAGTATAAATATAATAATAATAATGTTACAGCTTTGTGTCAGGCCTGGATGCCAAGTACCCCGCCAACTGCGGCAAGCCCATCACCATCTCTCTGTGCCGAGAAACGTTTGGAAAATTGTCCAATACTGAAGGATATTCTTTTATGCAAGTATCCAGTACATCAGCCACTGTCAGATCTGCTATACTCAACTGTAAATGTACAAACATATTAACTGAACCATTAATACATCAGCCACTGTCAGATCTGCTTTTACTCAACTGTAAATATACAAACATATTACTGAACCATTAATACATCAGCTACTGTCAGATCTGCTATACTCAACTGTAAATGTACAAACATATTACTGAACCATTAATACATCAGCTACTGTCAGATCTGCTATACTCAACTGTAAATGTACAAACATATTAACTGAACCATTAATACATCAGCTACTGTCAGATCTGCTATACTCAACTGTAAATATACAAACATATTACTGAACCATTAATACATCAGCTACTGTCAGATCTGCTATACTCAACTGTAAATGTACAAACATATTAACTGAACCATTAATACATCAGCTACTGTCAGATCTGCTATACTCAACTGTAAATATACAAACATATTACTGAACCATTAATACATCAGCTACTGTCAGATCTGCTATACTCAACTGTAAATGTACAAACATATTAACTGAACCATTAATACATCAGCTACTGTCAGATCTGCTATACTCAACTGTAAATATACAAACATATTACTGAACCATTAATACATCAGCTACTGTCAGATCTGCTATACTCAACTGTAAATGTACAAACATATTAACTGAACCATTAATACATCAGCTACTGTCAGATCTGCTATACTCAACTGTAAATATACAAACATATTACTGAACCATTAATACATCAGCTACTGTCAGATCTGCTATACTCAACTGTAAATATACAAACATATTACTGAACCATTAATACATCAGCTACTGTCAGATCTGCTATACTCAACTGTAAATGTACAAACATATTACTGAACCATTAATACATCAGCTACTGTCAGATCTGCTATACTCAACTGTAAATGTACAAACATAATAATAATAATAACTGAACCAATACATCAGCTACTATCAGATCTGCTATCATTTTATGACTCAGCAGTTTTAAAAATGAACCATTTTAAACTAAAGAACAGACTATACAAAGTTCAATTATTATGTTTATATATTTTATACAATATATTATGAATAGAACGATATTTACTTATGTAATATAGTTTTTATTTCTGTTTATGTGATTTTGTATTTGAAAAAATAAATTTAATAGTATAATTAAATTGAATATTGTTAATATCAGTAGCATTGGTATCGTAATTTTATTTACACTGCTTTTAGTCCTTGTTTCATATTGTTCATTTAACGAGTGAAGTTTTAGATCAGATTTTAAAAATCCCTCTATGATTACCTATAACTTTTACAAATGCATCAACCTACATGTTCACCAGACAGATAACTGTACTTCACGCCTATTCTCACTCTAAGATAACCAATAACTTTTACCAGCACACCAACTTACATCTTCACCAGCCAGATAACCAGAGCTGCTGTTGGTAAGTCTCTTCTCTATCTTGCCTAAAAAATTTGGGATCGTCTCAGCTGAAAATTTTCCTTCGAGTTCTTCCTGGAAATCAAAAGCATCTAATCAAGACATGCAAACAAATATATTCCAATGGACACCTTAGGCCACTCGGCTCATATTTTGTAAATGTCCATACCAGCGGGTTTTAAACATGATGTCTTGTTGCAATGCGATTCATCTGGCTTCAAAATTCTTATAATAGAGTTTATGTGGAACACTTGGGAACAGATCGTTCATTAGGAAAATAAAGTGCATTGGAACACTTGGGGAACATTGTGTGCATTGGGAACACAGAGTGCATTGGGAACACAGAGTGCATTGGGAACACAGAGTGCATTGCGAACACAGTGCATTGGGAACACAGCGTGCATTGGGAACACAGTGTGCATTGGGAACACAGAGTGCATTGGGGACACAGAGTGCATTGGGAACACAGAGTGCATTGGGAACACAGAGTGCATTGCGAACACAGAGTGCATTGGGAACACAGCGTGCATTGGGAACACTTGGGAAACACAGCGTGTGTTTGGAACATTAGCGTGTGTTTGGAACATTAGCGTGTGTTTGGAACATTAGCGTGTGTTGGGAACATTAGCGTTTGTTGGGAACATTAGCGTGTGTTGGGGACATTAGCGTGTGTTGGGGACATTAGCGTGTGTTGGGGACATTAGCGTGTGTTGGGAACATTAGCGTGTGTTGGGAACATTAGCGTGTGTTGGGGATATAGGGTTATTGAAGAGCCAGAGCTTGTTGTGGAGTGAACGGAATTCTGAATAATAAATATTTAAAAAAAAACAAGGTTTTAAAATAATGTGACTTTTAATTCGCAATTTATGTCGTCAAGCGATGTTGAATGTCGTCAAGCGATGTTGAATGTCGTCAAGCGATGTTGAATGTCGTCTGGCGTCTGGCGATGTTGAATGTCGTCAGGCGATGTTGAATGTCGTCAAGCGATGTTGAATGTCGTCAAGCAATGTTGAATGGCGTCTGGCGTCTGGCGATGTTGAATGTCGTCTGGCGTCTGGCGATGTTGAATGTCGTCAAGCGATGTTGAATGTCGTCAAGCAATGTTGAATGTCGTCTAGTGATGCACATTTTTAAGGTATTACTTTTGAAATCTCTAACACATGACATCGAGCTGAAAAAACCCCCCAATAAATCTGTCATCTGTTATTGAAGTTGAGCCAATGTTCTGACCTTCTGGAGCTGTGTCAGGATTTTATCTGTTTTAAACCGGACGTATTCATCCCTTAAGTCATCCACGTAGTTCATGATGATGTCAGCAGTCAACTGGCCCAACTCTGTCTTGCCCATCAAATCTGAGGGGGGGGGGGGCAGTAGCACAAAACGATGGAACCTTGAACCCATTTGCCATCAGGTGCAAATCATTTTAAGTTGTAAACACAACCTTCAGAACAAATATGAAATGAATTAATTTTTAAAAAAAAATAATTAAAATGGGTCTTAAAAGAGACGCCCACATTAAAAAGCTAGAAACCAGAGAACGAACTGGTCTTAGCGTAGATCTAAACTAAACTTGCGCATTTAAAGTTATTGCCTGTGATAGAGAGCATTGGTTGCTATTTTTTTAAAATGAGACGTTCGTCCCGGCACTAGAACGATGGGCAGTGGTCAGTGGGTATAGACTAGTACCCAGATGAACCGGCGATGTGCCAAATATTGGTTTTAGTTAACATAATGTGTTTTCTGACTTGGCTGTTTTTCAAGTATCAAACTTCAGGTCTTTATCATACCGCGAACCCATAGATAAAAGCAGTTGGATGTGATGACCCAATCCGTGTAACGGTCCGTCAACTTAAAAAAAGAACCCCAAGAACCGAAAATAAACGAAGCAATGACATTTAACATCCTATATTAGGGCGATTGACTTGTAACAAAGTTATCGTTTTTGTGCGTATCTATTTACAGACTAAAAACGTACAACTAAGAGATCCTACGTGAACTGCGGGAATAGTTTGGGGGTTATGGATAATTTGAATTGCTGGATTAATTTTTATCCATTACCGGTATAAAGAAACGTTGAATGAATTCTGAGAATGAAAACTTGGTCACTGAGTACAAAACGGCATCCATATGTTATAAAAATACCAGGGTATTTGATATGAAACTCACTCACTGTACTTTCTGGCGATGTAGCGGGCCAACGGCAGGCTCTCACCGTAAGCCACCCCGTCAATCTCCATGAAAGGGACGTAACCCTCAGGGGTTTCTGTAAGAAATTGTGGTGGGTTAGCAATCCTAAATGAACAAAGTTAAAACTATTGACACTAGTTTATACATACTTCAGTGGTCGTTTGCATAAATCATCAAAGGTTCTCAAGCTTATAGGTCTCATGAGTTGGAGGCATGTTTAATCATTTGAAATAAAGAGTTTAAACTATTGAATGTTTTTGGCAAAGTCTTGACCAACTGGAGTACTGTAAAATAATGGGTTTGGGGGTGGGGGGGGGGGCTTGATTGACTGGAGTACTGTAAAATATGTGGGGGGAAAGTCTTGACAAATTGGATTACTGTAAAATATGTGGGGTGAAAGGTGAAGGCCATGTCTTGCTATTGGCAGGAAGGGGAAACTGAAACGAAATGTTTTATTCTTAGGACATGATTTTTGTCAATGTAAATTTTGCACCAAATCACATTTATTGTTATCAGCATTTAAAATATATGAGTGCCAATAGAGTTTTATTTTTAACTAACCGGTTATCGCCTTTTTAGAATGCATTCCCAACTTTTCCACACATAAGGTTCAGATAGGCATATTTTAAACGATCCACAGCAGCAGCAGTTCATGTCTATTTTTAGAAAAGTCAAAGCAACTCTCATTTGGATACAGTTTGATACCAGCACTTGACCTATATTTATCACCCGTGACCAATCTGCACTTACGAAACTTTTTTTCATTTTTGGCAACGTTCAGTAGGGCTAAAGTTGACCTGTTTGATACATTTACTGTCTTTTTAAATAGTTTTTAAATCGTTTATACTAAATTCGCTTTTGACTGGCAATAATCTTCGGACGGCTAATTGGCCCACTTCCCGTCAAGCTATCGAGCTGAATTTGGCACACAGAAGCACATTCTGTCAAATTTTCAGCCCCATACCTCGAAAATCCGTTTTTACTATTTTTCACGGGGAAGATCAAATAAATTCACAGTAAGTGCGCTAAATGAGATTCTTTTAACAAAAATATCGCAAGTGCGCTTGATGCGTCAAATTTTCTGACGTTTTTTCAGAAATAGTTGGTGAAATTAATCTGTGGTGTAAACGCTGCTGGGTCATTAGACTATTAAAGTTCAGGGGCGTGAAACAAATGTGCGTTGTTGAGCCTGGGGGGGGGGGGGAGGGGGCACTAATTGGGTTATTTATAAAGGGATTTACTTGAATGCATGTATTTTCACCGCCCCCCCCCCCAAATAGTTGGTGAAATTAATCTGTGGTGTAAACGCTGCTGGGTCATTAGACTATTAAAGTTCAGGGGCGTGAAACAAATGTGCGTTGTTGAGCCTGGGGGGGGGGGGGGGCGAGCACTAATTGGGATTTTTATAAAGTGGGTTACTTGAATGCATGTATTTTCAACCCCCCCCCCCCCCTTCCAATCCCTCGATATTACATTACATTTTCTAAAGGACTTATACGAAAACATCAACAAATGGTTTTAAAAACGATAACTTGAAATATGCTATTAATAGCTCCACACAATAATATTTCCAAAATTTACTTGGTTTCAACTCGGGCCAATCAGCGAACGCTACTCTTTCATCAATGAACTCCACTTGTGCCGTGTGCAAAAGTAGACGAATTAACTCTCCTCTGCCACGGAAATTGAAGTAAAACAGTTTGAAGACTGGTTCAGCCATTCTTCTGTCTGGAACAAAAACAAAAACTCACTTATTTATGACGAACTTCGGGAACATAATCGTGCAGTTTTGTTTAAAAAGTAATGCTTCAATACTTCTTTCAATACTTCTTTCAATACTTCAATACTTCTTTCAATACTTCAATACTTCATGCTTTCCTCCTGAACCGATTCGTAGAATATAAATTATACATTTCAAAGTCTGGGGACGCAATCCTTATAATTTTGCCGACATTAATTTTGCATGCAATGACTACTGTAATTTCACCAATTGGCACTCAAAATACACATGTAATAACACAATCAGTTCCAATCTATTGTATGTGTAAAATATTTGTTTAAACATTACATACTCATATTTGACCGTGTTTCAGCGACATGCTAGAGACGGCAATACCGAAGTGAAAAAAACAACAAAAACAAAAAAAAAGGCGGGGGTGGGCGGTTTTGATGCATGGCGGGGGGGGGGGGGCAAAAACCATTTGATGTTGACTTGACATTACAAGAGCATTTCATTGAACTGCCAATTGATTTAACAGATCAAGCTTAAGTTGAAACCAGCGAACAGAATTTCTGGACATCAAATGAAATTACGTATACGTTTCTACTTCTTTCGGAAAAAGGCGAAACTATTTTTGCCGGCGTTCCTACTTCGAATTAAGTGAGATTTAGATTTAGGCCAGTTATCCATTAACAATTTTTTAAAAAAAAGGGGGGGGGGGTAACCATCGTGACATTGTAGACAGAGTTCATCTTTGACTGTGACTAAAGCACTACGACCAGACAGTGACGAGCGGCGTATTCATCAGTCACAACGATCTACAACCAGACAGTGACGAGCGGCGTATTCATCAGTCACAACGATCTACAACCAGACAGTGACGAGCGGCGTATTCATCAGTCACAACGATCTATCGAAATGAGTTTAGCTACTTTTTGGGCAGGGGCTCTTAACCAGTGGTGTCCGTGCCCCCTGGGGTTGCAGGGGTCAGTTTCAGGAGATGCAGGAAGACCCAGAAAAATCAGTTTTATTTGCATTTGTTTTATCGTGGGAATGCGGAAGTAAGTTTTGAAATCAAGATCTAAGTGGGGCGCGGCAAAGACGTTTAAGAAAGCCTCATTTAGGGACTACATATAAGAAGATTTTGCCATATTATTTATACAGTTTTTAACAGTTAGCATATTGCATATTTGTGATATATATATATATATATATATATATATATATATATATATATATATATATATATATATATNTAACTGAGGCAATTTTATAACTGAGGCAATTTTATAACTGAGGCAATTTTATAACTGAGGCAATTTTATAACTGAGGCAATTTTATAACTGAGGCAATTTTATAACTGAGGCAATTTTATAACTGAGGCAATTTTATAACTGAGGCAATTTTATAACTGAGGCAATTTTATAACTGAGGCAATTTTATAACTGAGGCAATTTTATAACTGAGGCAATTTTATAACTGAGGCAATTTTATAACTGAGGCAATTTTATAACTGAGGCAATTTTATAACTGAGGCAATTTTATAACTGAGGCAATTTTATAACTGAGGCAATTTTATAACTGAGGCAATTTTATAACTGAGGCAATTTTATAACTGAGGCAATTTTATAACTGAGGCAATTTTATAACTGAGGCAATTTTATAACTGAGGCAATTTTATAACTGAGGCAATTTTATAACTGAGGCAATTTTATAACTGAGGCAATTTTATAACTGAGGCAATTTTATAACTGAGGCAATTTTATAACTGAGGCAATTTTATAACTGAGGCAATTTTATAACTGAGGCAATTTTATAACTGAGGCAATTTTATAACTGAGGCAATTTTATAACTGAGGCAATTTTATAACTGAGGCAATTTTATAACTGAGGCAATTTTATAACTGAGGCAATTTTATAACTGAGGCAATTTTATAACTGAGGCAATTTTATAACTGAGGCAATTTTATAACTGAGGCAATTTTATAACTGAGGCAATTTTATAACTGAGGCAATTTTATAACTGAGGCAATTTTATAACTGAGGCAATTTTATAACTGAGGCAATTTTATAACTGAGGCAATTTTATAACTGAGGCAATTTTATAACTGAGGCAATTTTATAACTGAGGCAATTTTGACCTTAAATTAATGTTTTTAAAATTTATTGAATAAAGATTTTTTTCAAAATTTGAAAATTTTAGATTATTAGAATAAAAAATAAAGTTTGTGAGTCACACCCCCCCCCCCTCCTGTCACAAAGTGTCACAAATTCGCCCCGCCCCCCAAACCAAGCGTGCCGTAAAGTGCAATGTTATAGATGGCTACGAGTTAAAACAACAAATTGATTGAGAGGCGCCACCAGCACTAATTACATTCTAATATAAAACTCAAACCTCAGGTTCCTTGGTACACCAGATATAAGCACGTGCATGGGGGCGCGTGCTGGTACAGCATCGACCACGTGATCAAGTTGAGTGCAACGCAAGGCAGGAAAGTTAAGTCTACACACTTAAACAATTCATCTACCGTAGCCTATGAGAAATAATTCAGAGTAGTATACTAAAAAATGAATCTTCACCCGTGACGTCTATATGAGGGACTTAGTTCAAGTCGTGCGTTTAATTTTGTGCCGTCTTTTGGTCACGTCTTAGCGTCAACGTACCGTGGTGCACTATTTATTTATACGACCTCTTTCTAACGTGCACTATTAATGGAATTAAGTCTTCCCCGTCTTTACTTAAGACACCCCTGGTGTATGGCCATGTGTGTAATGGATAGCATTTATATCCATGTGTGTAATGGATAGGATATATATCCATGTGTGGAATGGGTAGGATTTATATCCATGTGTGTAATTGATATGATTTACAACCATGTGTAATGGATATGTTTTTATATCCATGTGTGTAATGTATACGATTTAGTTTGAGAAAGTCATGAAACGACAAGTTAATCGTTATCAGGTATCAAGAGCCACGAGCTACGGGCCACGAGCTACGGGCAACGAGCCACAAGCCTATTTAATTGGGATAACAAATTGATCTAAACATCATAACGTGACATTGAAACACGTACTTCAGCGGTTCTTGCATTGGGGGCATTGGACCAACTGAAACACGTACTTCAGCGGTTCTTGCATTGGGTTCATTGGACCAACTGAAACACGTACTTCAGCGGTTCTTGCATTGGGTTCATAGGACCAACTAAAACACGTATTTCAGCGGTTCTTGCATTGGGTTCATTGGACCAACTGAAACACGTACTTCAGCGGTTCTTGCATTGGGTTCATTGGACCAACTGAAACACGTAATTTAACGGTTCTTGCATTGGGTTTTATTGAACGAAATGAGGTCCACTAGGTTTGTGTATGTACGACTTTGAACTAGAATTGTTTTGAAAAAAAAAGAAAAGAAAAGTAAAACATGTTTAGAAAACTGAAATCCAATTTAAAATTGTTTTGGTTGCTTCCATGCTTCCATGCTTCCATGCTTCCATGCTTCCATGCTTCCATGCTTCCATGCTTCCATAGCCGTCACGTGACCTTTTGAGGCATCCTCTTACTATTTGCCTCTTGCATTCAAAGTTGATGTATCTATATAGACAATGCGGTTTATATTATCTATATCTATGGATGTATCTCTATAGATAGACAATGTGGTTTATAATATCTATATCTATGGATATATCTATATAGATAGACAATGTGGTTTATATTATCTATATCTATGGATATATCTATATAGATAGACAATGTGGTTTATATTATCTACATCTATGAAGGTATCTATATAGATAGACAATGTGGTTTATATTATCTATATCTATGGATGTATCTCTATAGATAGACATTATGGTTTATATTATCTACATCTATGAAGGTATCTATATAGATAGACAATGTGGTTTATATTATCTATATCTATGGATGTATCTATATAGATAGACATTATTGTTTATATTATCTACATCTATGAAGGTATCTATATAGATAGACAATGTGGTTTATATTATCTACATCTATGAATGTATCTATATAGATAGGCAATATGGTTTATATTATCTACATCTATGAAGGTATCTCTATAGATAGACAGTATGGTTTATATTATCTACATCTATGAATGTATCTATATAGATAGACAATGCGGTTTATAATATCTATATCTATGGATGTATCTCTATAGATAGACATTATGGTTTATATTATCTACATCTATGAAGGTATCTATATAGATAGACAATGTGGTTTATATTATCTATATCTATGGATGTATCTCTATAGATAGACATTATGGTTTATATTATCTACATCTATGAAGGTATCTATATAGATAGACAATGTGGTTTATATTATCTATATCTATGGATGTATCTATATAGATAGACAATGCGGTTTATAATATCTATATCTATGGATGTATCTATATAGATAGACAATATGGTTTATATTATCTATATCTATGGATGTATCTATATAGATAGACAATGCGGTTTATATTATCTATATCTATGGATGTATCTCTATAGATAGACAATGCGGTTTATATTATCTATATCTATGGATGTATCTCTATAGATAGACAATGTGGTTTATATTATCTACATCTATGAATGTATCTATATAGATAGACAATGTGGTTTATATTATCTATATCTATGGATGTATCTATATAGATAGACAATGTGGTTTATATTATCTATATCTATGGATGTATCTCTATAGATAGACAATGTGGTTTATATTATCTATATCTATGGATATATCTATATAGATAGACAATGTGGTTTATATTATCTACATCTATGAATGTATCTATATAGATAGACAATGTGGTTTATATTATCTATATCTATGGATGTATCTATATAGATAGACAATGTGGTTTATATTATCTATATCTATGGATGTATCTATATAGATAGACAATGTGGTTTATATTATCTACATCTATGAATGTATCTCTATAGATAGACAATGTGGTTTATATTATCTATATCTATGGATGTATCTATATAGATAGACAATGTGGTTTATATTATCTATATCTATGGATGTATCTCTATAGATAGACAATGTGGTTTATATTATCTATATCTATGGATATATCTATATAGATAGACAATGTGGTTTATATTATCTATATCTATGGATGTATCTATATAGATAGACAATGTGGTTTATATTATCTACATCTATGAATGTATCTCTATAGATAGACAATGTGGTTTATATTATCTATATCTATGGATGTATCTATATAGATAGACAATATGGTTTATATTATCTATATCTATTGATGTATCTATATAGATAGACAATGTGGTTTATATTATCTATATCTATGGATGTATCTATATAGATAGACAATGTGGTTTATATTATCTATATCTATTGATGTATCTATATAGATAGACAATGTGGTTTATATTATCTATATCTATGGATGTATCTATATAGATAGACAATGTGGTTTATATTATCTATATCTATGGATGTATCTATATAGACGATGGGGTTTATATTATTCTACGCTAATAAATAAAGAGAGTTGTTTATCATTTGTTTGCCACTGGGTCTAGTTACATCAAGGAGAAAGGTCAAGGCCCCCTTTGCTTCACCAAATTTTTAGAGGATGAGCTCCGAGGCATGCAACTATTATGGTAAGAACTTCTGGTCCACCAAGAACTTCTGGTCCACCTAGAACTTCTGGTCCACCTAGAACTTCTGGTCCACCTAGAACTTCTGGTCCACCTAGAACTCCTGGTCCACCATATCATTTACATTACTAAGCGTCTAATATTCCCAATGACATGAGACGAAAGAGTTGGATAGGAGGAAATCAACGAGAAGTGATATCAATAATAATTATTATTATTAGGGATTTAATACCGTGGGAATTTGATGGCACTAAGTAAGAGAGATCGGTTGGATCGAATGGATTAATTCAGCTCAAGAATGACGTAATCAAGGAAGTTCGAGTCAGGCTGAACGGGGGGGGGGGGGCTTACAGCTGGAATATGAATTGAACGGGTTTCTCATTTCCCAGGATGAGGTAGAGAAAAAAGCCATCATTGAAAGCAGCATCACTCAGACGAATCTCACTCTTGGCCTCCTGGCTTATCATTTTCTTGATATTCCCCTCACTATAAGATCCTTTAAGGACCCCTTTAACGGAACAAAGTGACTCACTTAGGGGTCGCTTGCAAATTACGTCACGACAAAAAATGACCTATTCAGACCCCCTCTCCCTGTCACAAAGTGTCACAAATCCTTTACCCCCCCCCCCACCCCCACTTACTTAGTGTCACGTCACACCTAGAAAAATTCAAAACATACATAAAATGTTCACAACTAAACTAAGATTTTATTTTATTCTTGAACATTTCCCCATAATGGATTATGATGTAGTATTATTAGAAAACTGTGACGCAACCAACGAAGTCCTCCCCGAGCCCAATGTGAAATGGCCACAACAGTTTTAACGTCATTTTTCGATATGTTCAGAAGGTGTGCGCGACTGAGTTTCTCGGCACCTATAATACCAGAGACAATTTCAACCTCAAATTAATAATTTTAAAGTTAATTGAAAACGATTTTTCAAAATTAGAAAATTTGAGATTTTTAAATATTTTTTTTTTTTTTTGACGACCCCAATTTTTTTCCCCCCCCCCCCCCCCCCCCCCCTGTCACGAGTATCACAAATCCTCGACCCCCTGAGCGTGATGTAATTTGCGCACGACCCCTGACCCCCTTACCATAACATACTTTTAAAACGCTCAAGAGAAAAAAGATAAGAGCTTTGAGTATTCCTGTCCAAGTAAATGATGCCATTCAGTCAATGTTCACATACAACAGTTACATATATATGAAAACGCTTTAAATATTTAAAGGGCGGAAAATTGTAAGGAGGCCCCCGTTGTAGGGTGCCCAGGAGATGGGCCTAGGAGGGAGGCACAGGTGGGGTCTCGTGAGGACCACGATACTAGCCATTCCGATGCAATCCCCAATCTCAAAACAACGTTGTTCGAACTGCTAAAATGGGTGAAAATAACGGGGATTCCCGACGGCATCCCACAGCTGAAGCGCACCACCAAGGTGTCAGAACAAAGTTTACAAACTTAATGCCGCCCAACACTCACCCACGATTTCCTGAACGTGTTGGGAATTGCATTTCTAGCCCGAAAGACACGAAATGTAGAGAGAGAGGCAAATCCAGGTTGCATAATTCATGTTAACTATACACTTCTTGTGTTGTATACTTCAAATTACATTTCTCAAGTTGTATATTTCAAATGACAGTTCTCAAGTTGTATATTTGAAATGACATTTCTCAGGTTCTATATTTCAAATGACATTTCTCAAGTTGTATATTTCAAATGACATTTCTCAATGTGTATACTTCAAATGACATTTCTCAAGTTGTATACTTCAAATGACATTTCTCAGGTTCTATATTTCAAATGACATTTCTCAAGTTGTATATTTCAAATGACATTTCTCAAGTTGTATATTTCAAATGACATTTCTCAAGTTGTATATTTCAAATGACATTTCTCAAGTTGTATATTTCAAATGACATTTCTCAAGTTGTATATTTCAAATGACATTTCTCAAGTTGTATATTTCAAATGACATTTCTCAAGTTGTATATTTCAAATGACATTTCTCAAGTTGTATATTTCAAATGACATTTCTCAAGTTGTATATTTCAAATGACATTTCTCAAGTTGTATATTTCAAATGACATTTCTCAAGTTGTATATTTCAAATGACATTTCTCAAGTTGTATATTTCAAATGACATTTCTCAAGTTGTATATTTCAAATGACATTTCTCAAGTTGTATATTTCAAATGACATTTCTCAAGTTGTATATTTCAAATGACATTTCTCAAGTTGTATATTTCAAATGACATTTCTCAAGTTGTATATTTCAAATGACATTTCTCAAGTTGTATATTTCAAATGACATTTCTCAAGTTGTATATTTCAAATGACATTTCTCAAGTTGTATATTTCAAATGACATTTCTCAAGTTGTATATTTCAAATGACATTTCTCAAGTTGTATATTTCAAATGACATTTCTCAAGTTGTATATTTCAAATGACATTTCTCAAGTTGTATATTTCAAATGACATTTCTCAAGTTGTATATTTCAAATGACATTTCTCAAGTTGTATATTTCAAATGACATTTCTCAAGTTGTATATTTCAAATGACATTTCTCAAGTTGTATATTTCAAATGACATTTCTCAAGTTGTATACTTCAAATGACATTTCTCAGGTTCTATATTTCAAATGACATTTCTCAAGTTGTATATTTCAAATGACATTTCTCAAGTTGTATATTTCAAATGACATTTCTCAAGTTGTATATTTCAAATGACATTTCTCAATGTGTATACTTCAAATGACATTTCTCAAGTTGTATACTTCAAATGACATTTCTCAAGTTGTATACTTCAAATGACATTTCTCAGGTTCTATATTTCAAATGACATTTCTCAAGTTGTATACTTCAAATGACATTTCTCAGGTTCTATATTTCAAATGACATTTCTCAAGTTGTATATTTCAAATGACATTTCTCAGGTTCTATATTTCAAATGACATTTCTCAGGTTCTATATTTCAAATGACATTTCTCAGGTTCTATATTTCAAATGACATTTCTCAAGTTGTATATTTCAAATGACATTTCTCAAGTTGTATATTTCAAATGACATTTCTCAGGTTCTATATTTCAAATGACATTTCTCAATGTGTATACTTCAAATGACATTTCTCAAGTTGTATACTTCAAATGACATTTCTCAGGTTCTATATTTCAAATGACATTTCTCAAGTTGTATATTTCAAATGACATTTCTCAATGTGTATACTTCAAATGACATTTCTCAAGTTGTATACTTCAAATGACATTTCTCAAGTTGTATACTTCAAATGACATTTCTCAGGTTCTATATTTCAAATGACATTTCTCAAGTTGTATATTTCAAATGACATTTCTCAAGTTGTATATTTCAAATGACATTTCTCAAGTTGTATATTTCAAATGACATTTCTCAATGTGTATACTTCAAATGACATTTCTCAAGTTGTATACTTCAAATGACATTTCTCAGGTTCTATATTTCAAATGACATTTCTCAGGTTCTATATTTCAAATGACATTTCTCAGGTTCTATATTTCAGATGACATTTCTCAGGTTCTATATTTAAGATGACGTTTCTCATGTTGTATATTTCTAATAACGTTTCTTAGGGACCTCATCAGATAGGTGTCAGTGAGAGACCTAGTCAGATAGTCGGGTGTCAGTGAGAGACCTCGTCTGTTAGTCGGCTGTGAGTGAGAGACCTAGTCAGATAGTCGGGTGTGAGTGAGAGACCTAGTCAGATAGTCGGGTGTGAGTGAGATACCTAGTCAGATAGTCGGGTGTCAGTGAGACACCTAGTCAGATAGGTGTCAGTGAGAGACCTAATCAGATATGTGTCAGTGAGAGACCTAATCAGACAGGTGTCAGTGAGAGACCTAGTCAGATAGGTGTCATTGAAAGACCTAGTCAAATAGGTGTCAGTGAGAGACCTAGTCAGATAGGTGTCAGTGAAAGATCTAGTCAGATAGGTGTCAGTGAGAGAACTAGTCAGATAGGTGTCAGTGAAAGACCTAGTCAAAATAGTCAGACAGGTGTCAGTGAGAGACCTAGTCAGATAGGTGTCAGTGAGAGACCTAGTCAGATAGGTGTCAGTGAGAGACCTAGTCAGATAGGTGTCAGTGAAAGACCTAGTCAAAATAGTCAGATAGGTGTCAGTGAAAGACCTAGTCAAAATAGTCAGATAGGTGTCAGTGAGAGACCTAGTCAGATAGGTGTCAGTGTGAGACCTAGTCAGATAGGTGTCAGTGAGAGACCTAGTCAGATAGTTGTGAGGCACCTTTTCAGTAATTTGTTATTGCCTAAGCTTTTTGAAGAAAAAAAGATCTAGCTGATAAGTGTTTACCGGAGAAATAGACATTTCCTTTGATGTCTGAGGCAGTTACAAATAGACATTTCCTCTGATGTCTGAGGCAGTCACAAATAGACATTTCCTCTGATGTCTGAGGCAGTCACAAATAGACATTTCCTCTGATGTATGAGGCAGTCACCAATAGAAATTTCCTCTGATGTCTGAGGCAGTCACAAATAGAAATTTCCTCTAATGTCTGAGGCAGTCACAAATAGACATTTCCTCTGATGTCTGAGGCAGTCACAAATAGACATTTCCTCTAATCATGTCAATATTTCAGTCCACGACGGCTAACACTGATTTAATGTCAAAGTTCAGTTTGGTGCATTATATGAACAGAGAACAAACCACCCATGGCGACCGCGGCATAGGCCAAACGGCGTGGTGGCGTGGGGTTTAGGTGCCCCCCCCCCTCCACACTTGGGCGCTTGAAATGACTAAATTACTTATGTTGAGAACAAATACTAAATCAACACTTCAAAACTGAACTTACTAATTGATTAGGACTCGCGATCAACAAACCTTGACAAACTAACGAAATGTTTGTGATTGTTTTCTAAGGTCCGAATGTTTGATGACGTCATGACATGGAAAGCATGGACTTCTATTTACATGGAGAACTGCATTTTAAAAAAAAGTTGTTGATCTCATTGATCTTATCCGCCTCAACACAGTGGCGTAGCTAGGGTTGGTGTCACCAGGTGCGGTAAATTGATGGTGTCGACCACCCCCCGACTTCACGTTAGATTTCTCCTTGTTATAATAAGTCCACAGTGTAACAATGACAAGAAACAACAAAAAAAAAATAATTGAAGTTCAGGAGGTCAATGTATTTAAGAACTGTAACAGTGTTACGTTATCGTTATTTTTACATTAAATTTACTTTATTAAAAATTTATTTTCCTTTCCTGGTTTTCAAAGCTGCAAACCTGTCAATCACAATCAATATCCATCACCGTATCTATTTTAATTGATATTAGAGCCAGATCAAAAAGCCTTGACTGTCTCATGGTGGATCGTAAATAGTTCTTGATAAGCCTTTGTTTTGAAAAGCCCTGATCACATGAAGCCACATACACACAGATCGTAAGAAACAATTGAAGGCTTAGCGAGGGTACTGGAAGACATTCTAGGATGTCTGATTCAGCTATGAATTTAAAAACATCACATATTGACCAGTCCATGACTTTGTGAAATTCAACATCAGCTGCCTTTAGGAGTCTTCTAAGCCTTAACATTTCTTTTAAAAGCTAATCTTCTGATAATTCAACATACAAAGAGGTTAATTTTGGAACGGACATCAATAACTTTTCTTCACTAGCTGATAGTAGACTCTTGGGTTGAACAGCCCAAAACATATCTGCTACTTTCTTGATCGTAGATGATCTGATCTGGGGTTGAGAATGAAAGCTTCCAATACACTCCAGCGTCTTCTTACTGTTTTCTTCAGGCAGAGAGAGTCCAGCATCTATTAACTGTCCCCCTGCCATTTTCTTCTTAAACCTTAAATCTTCAATCTACAGAAAATCCATATTTTTGTCTTATTTTAATGGTGCCTTTTCAATAGCATGTACCACCAACTTACAGCGCTTCTCGTGGAGAAACAATCTTAAGGCCTCTAGGCTGGTCACCACTTTGTCAAGAGTTAAACCTTTGATCTGCAGATACTGCTGTTTAAGATTAACTTCCTTAAGTAGATGAGCCCAAATGGAAATGTAGCAGATAAAAGTGAAATCACAGACAGCATGTAAAAGACCTTGTGCTGTATGATAATAGTGCTAAAATGTTTGGGTCGGTGCTAGTGGCGAATCGGCGAAAATATGTATTTTTGAGTATTTCCTAGTTCTAATATAATTTGATACGTAAATCATTTTTTAAAGTTAAATAAAAGATATTAGAAAAGTTTGTAAAATATTATTTTGTTAACTCTATAAATGGGTAAAGTTTAATTTCCGACAGACAGAAAGAAAGACATGTCTGGGCTTTTCTTATAGTATTAGCAAAATTGTAATAGTTTGTTATCAACAGTATTATTGAATAGACGAAAATTCTTTTAATTACAATTTTTTGCGACTGATAATCTTGGTGACTCCCCTATTCTATGACTGACATTGCCCACATACAGAAATTATCAAGTTTTTTAAGGTCGGGGTGGGAAGGGGGGGGGGTTAGCTTTCACATCTCAGGAGGGGGGGATACATGCCCCTGGATAGTAGGCAATATAATGATTTAATGTGACGTAGTAGGTAATGTAATGATGTAGTGTGTGTTAGTAGGTAATGTAATGATAAAGTGAGTGGCAGAAAGTAATGTAATGATGTAGTGTGTGGAAGTAGGTAATGTAATGATGTAGAGTGTGTCAGTAGGTAATGTAATGATGTAGTGTGTGGCAGTAGGTAATGTAATGATGTAGTGGGTGGCAGTAGGTAACGTAATGATGTAGTGTGTGGAAGTAGGTAATGTAATGATGTAGTGTGTGGAAGTAGGTAATGTAATGATGTAGTGTGTGGTAGTAGGTAATGTAATGATGTAGTGTGTGGTAGTAGGTAATGTAATGATGTAGTGTGTGGTAGTAGGTAATGTAATGATGTAGTGTGTGGAAGTAGGTAATGTAATGATGTAGTGTGTGGTAGTAGGTAATGTAATGATGTAGTGTGTGGTAGTAGGTAATGTAATGATGTAGTGTGTGGTAGTAGGTAATGTAATGATGTAGTGTGTGGTAGTAGGTAATGTAATGATGTAGTGTGTGGTAGTAGGTAATGTAATGATGTAGTGTGTGGTAGTAGGTAATGTAATGATGTAGTGTGTGGTAGTAGGTAATGTAATGATGTAGTGTGTGGTAGTAGGTAATGTAATGATGTAGTGTGTGGTAGTAGGTAATGTAATGATGTAGTGTGTGGTAGTAGGTAACGTAATGATGTAGTGTGTGGTAGTAGGTAACGTAATGATGTAGTGTGTGGAAGTAGGTAATGTAATGATGTAGTGTGTGGAAGTAGGTAATGTAATGATGTAGTGTGTGGTAGTAGGTAATGTAATGATGTAGTGTGTGGTAGTAGGTAATGTAATGATGTAGTGTGTGGTAGTAGGTAATGTAATGATGTAGTGTGTGGTAGTAGGTAATGTAATGATGTAGTGTGTGGTAGTAGGTAATGTAATGATGTAGTGTGTGGTAGTAGGTAATGTAATGATGTAGTGTGTGGTAGTAGGTAATGTAATGATGTAGTGTGTGGTAGTAGGTAACGTCATGATTTAATGGTTGTACATGATATGCGACCATCCGCGATATTTGAACTTTATCTTTAGTCTCATTATTAGCTTAAATAAAATTATACGCATTAGACACCCTGAGATGGCGTGTATGTCACAGAAAAAAAATCTTTCAACTGCTTATGATGAAACGAAACCTTCCTTGTTTGCCTGCTTCATGGCCTGAGCTCAAACTTAACCTAGGTCAGTCTCTAGGCCCAAACTTAACCTAGGTCAGTCTCTAGGCCCAAACTTAACCTAGGGCAGTCTCTAGGCCCAAACTTAACCTAGGGCAGTCTCTAGGCCCAAACTTAACCTAGGGCAGTCTCTAGGCCCAAACTTAACCTAGGGCAGTCTCTAGGTTTTTAATTAAGAAGAAGAAAACGTCCGAAAAGCGGATCAAAATGGTAACAGAGCTGCTTGAAAAAATGTTGGCCTACCTGACTGCTACCTGTGTCTCCATCAACAGACAACACCGGGTCACATCGAATATAAAATTGTACACTTAAAACCAAACACAAAATATACCACACTGCACCACACTGCACCACACACAACTATTGAGAGCCTCGGCTGAACGGTTGAAAGGTAAACAAACACATCCAATAGTCTTGGTACGGACGGACTAATCTAGAAAATTACCTTAGCTGCACCTCCAGGTGTTAATCAAGTCGTCACAACATGGGATCTCCAGGCAGTGGGACCGAATGATAGGAGTTTAGGGGAGGCGACCAGAAGGTTGACTCAACCAAGCAGACACAGTAGATACATAGAGTTCAAGCTTCCCCCGTTGAATACACACACACACACACACCCGTATCCCGGTGTGTGACTTGGGCAATACATACTAGGCGCTGGTGGACGACTGCGGATATGGGATAGCCTAGATTTCCTTTTTTTTAAAAAAAGCAGTTGGATCTTTCAGGGGTTCTCACATCATGATACTGTAACTTGCTCACAGTGGTAAAATTAGCGAAACACAAGCGGATAGGTAATACATTGGGACATGTTATCACCATAAACGATCACAACAAATATCAACATCATTTACGATCAAAGTAAATATTTACATGATTTACGATCACAATAAATATCAACATCATTTACAATCACATGGAAGTAAACTAGGGTGACCAAACGTCCCGTAAAAACGAGATTGTCCCGTTTTTTCACGATCGTACCCGGTGTCCCGAAAAAGTCTCTCTCCCGACGCCTAAATTTCCCGTTTCTATAACCAAACCCATTTTCACACATTAGATAAGAAGGAGGTTTTAACAATGGTTGGGGCAACAGCCTAATATCCTCAATTTAAATCCTAGGCGAGAGACATTTAATTTGTTGTGTTGCATTATGTTGTAAAATATGTATCAATAAAAAAGCATTCACTGCCAACTTATTGTTTTCGTTGATGATATGTCTCAGAGTTTAAATTAAGTAATAAAAAGTGAAGGTAAATTAAAAAAAGATTTCTATGTCTCAAGATAGTTAAAATGAGCAGATTTCAATAAACAGTTTCCGGTGGAGGTCCCCGGACCCCTCTTTAGCTGGAGGGTATCCCCCCACCACCCTCTCATTGGGCCTGTTCCGTTTTTTCCAGTTCATGATTTGGTCACCCTAGACCAGAGGATACAGTTTCTGTTTCGTTCTTAAGATGCCAAAATTGGTGGAACTGTGGACAGTCAGAAAGGAGAGTCAACTGAATGTCTTCTTCTACTGTACTGTGGAACTCTGGCAGTCAGAAAGGAAAGTCAACTGAATGTCTATTTTTACTGTACTGTGGAACTCTGGCAGTCAGAAAGGAAAGTCCACTGAATGTCTTCTTGTACTGTACAGCTTCTAATGGGGATGTGTCGCGAACAAGGACACACTTAACAATCTACCTCAAGGTGTGAGAACTGCTGAAGATTTATGTTGTTGGCTTTGAGGGGGCCTTTCCCCGTATAAAATGACATCTCTTTAAAGGTGCCTCCTCCCCCATTATAATAATACCTCTTTATGGGTGCCTCCTCCCCCCTTATAATGATACCTCTTTATAGGTGCATCCCCCCTCCCCTATTCTAATTGATACCTCTTAATAGGTGCCTCCTCCCCAATTATAATGATACCTCTTTATAGGTGCCTCCCCCCCATTATAATGATACCTCTTTATAGGTGCCTCCCCCCTCCCCTATTCTAATGATACCTCTTAATATGTGCCTCCTCCCCCATTATAATGATACCTCTTTATAGGTGCCTCCTACCCCATTCTAATAATACCTCTTTATAGGTGCCTCCTCCCCCATGCTAATGATACCTCTTAATAGGTGCCTCCTCCCCCATTATAATAATACCTCTTTATAGGTGCCTCCCCCCTCCCCTATTTTAATGATACCTCTTAATAGGCGCCCCCTCCCCCATTATAATGATACCTCTTTATATTGGCATAACCCAAGGCTCAGACACACCATAAGGATATGATGTGATGGGTAGAGTGCAGAACACATTATAATTCGCTATGAATGCTTCCTTTCCCCAAGAATACATTTTGTGGCAAACTTAGAAACTTTATTGTAGTCCTCTAGATTACGTGGTGAGAAGTGCCAACGACCTTGATACTTGGTGAGAAGTGACAACGACCTGCCGTCACCCCTTTTCCTGTTGTAATTTCAACCGGTAAATTAATATCGCGTCCTACGTCACGACTTAACTGTATCCCTCCAAACACGTGACACAAAGTGTCAACAACCTGCTGCCGCCCCCTTCCCTGGAGTATCGCTGCCGCCCCCTTCCCTGGAGTATCACTAAATCTCAGCACCCCACGTTGGCCACTAACGCACACTGTGGTGACAATTGAGGACGTTTTGAAATGAAATTGCAGAATATTGCGTGTTTCCGGCAAAAGGTCGGAAACCGGAAATGTTGATTGTACTGCGCATGCGCGTCGCCACAATATCAAAGTGAGCCATGAAAAACACAATTATTATGAACTGGGCTCAACTCGACCCGAACAGTCACTTAGATTGTGATATTCCTGTCACAAGCAAGCTTACTAACACTTTTCTAATTCTCTTTGAATTGTTTGGTTTCGTCTGCTGATGAACGTTTTCAGCGAAACTTTCTTTTGATTTTCCTGTCTTTTCATTCAAGCTTTTCCATGTGCTGTTCTTACTACATGTATTTCTTTCACACGGCTTCATTTCAGTAGCAGCTGTACATGTTATCCAATATTTAAAAAAAAAAACAACAACAAAAAAACAAAAAAACAACTCTCTTCACTTGTCACGGTATTGTCATATAGTCCTCATGCTCATCCATTATTTGCATGCTTCTAGCTGATCTGGGTAAGATATCCTTCTGATAACCGGTTTTCGCGTCTTGAAGGAGACAGTTTGAGAAGCACTTTTCTAAAGTCTACACGAAACGAGAAGACGAGAGAAAGGTAGTATTTATTTTGATCAAGGTGTGCTTCATTGCTTTTCAATCCTTATGGGGGTAAAGGCCTGTCGTGGGGGTAAAGGCCTGTCGTGGGGGTAAAGGCCTGTCGTGGGGGTAAAGGCCTGTCGTGGGGGTAAAGGCCTGTCGTGGGGGTAAAGGCCTGTCGTGGGGGTAAAGGCCTGTCGTGGGGGT